ACATCTGTGCTAATCCTCCTCTTTTTGCTGAGGAAGACCGGCTCTGAGCTAACATGTATTGCCAATCCTCCTCCTTTTTTTCCCGAAAGCCCCAGTAGGTAGTTGTATGTCATAGCTGCACATCCTTCTAGTTGCTGTATGTGGGATGTGACCTCAGGCTGGCCGGAGAAGTGGTGCGTTGGTGCGCACCCGGAATCTGAACCCGGGCTGCCAGCAGCGGAGCGCGCGCACTTAACCGCTAAGCCACGGGGCCGGCCCTGAGTACACTTTGAATAGCCATGGGCTATGAGACCTACTATGATCTGGCCTCTGCCTCTGCCAACCTCCCCACCTCACCTCCTATTTCTTTACTCCTTGCTTACTGTGTATGGTCAGCCATGCTGGCCCTTCTGGCCAGGACCTCGCCAAGCTAGTCCCTACCCCAGGGCCTTTGTACTGCTCGTTATTTCTGCCTTGAACACTGTTCCCCCGGTTTTCTGAGTGCCTGGCTGCTGCTTTTCCTTGGGGGCTCACCTCTGACCACCCTCTTATAGTAGCTCGTGTTTGTTTACAGGATCCTGTTCATTTTCTTCATAGCATTTATTTCACTCAATACAAAATTTAGCATACTTTTCTGCTCTTATCAGCAGACTATCAAGTCCATGAAGAAGGAACTGTGTCTGTTTTGTGTACTGCTCTGCCCCTGTGCACAGAACAGGCCTGACACCTGTGGAGTTCACTAAACACTGACCAGAGGTAGGAATTTGACTATAGTTTTATATTTTAATATTGTTATTCTATTTTTGTGTCTAGAAATTCTAACAAAAGGAAAAGCAAAAAGCTTTGTTGGAGACTTTACTCTTTACTCCAACTACTCTTGACTCCAACTATCAATTTTATCACTTGAGCCCAATTCACATTCATAGGGTGGGGATTACCTCTTCTCCTAAGTGGTCGACTCCATAGTTGTAGAGTTCCCCTACATAATGCCTTCTAACAGCATCTTCACTGACTTGAAGGTGATGGGCCAAATCCACGGCTAGAACTGGCCAATCTTGGTCTTTCCCAAAAGGAGCGGTCGGTGCCTCTTCTGAGGAATCTTTGTCCTTTGCACCTGCATGCTGAGCCTGCACAGCTGCACTGACAACTTTCAATAAGAACTTGAAAATGCAGGAGACACAACAACATCTTGTTAGTATGTTTCATTAAAAAATTCAAAGCAATTTTTGGTCAATTAGAGTGGCTTTCCATTAAAATTGTTTAATTATCAAGAAAGAACACATAATTTAAAGGGAAACTAGCTTTCAATACCTTGTAAGTGGTCATCCTTTAAAGGCCAACTAGAATTTTGCTTTACAATTTCACCCAAGAAACAAAAACAAAATCTGATAACTAATTTACCTGTTGTCGTACAGAAATAAAATTTGGATCCATTTCCCCACTAGGTAATAACTGAAGTGAAGTTAGGTCTTTGAAAAATGCATTTTTCCCCTAAAAAAAGAAGAGATCAAGAAAATTGATGAGTATGGATTATTATTAAGGGGGGAAAAGAAGAAAGATTAAAAAAACGAAGTCATTTAATCAAGAATAACGTTGACTTTTTTTCTCCTTGGAACAGTAACATTTTAGAATTTTATTCATTTAATTTATAACAACTATCTAGTATGTGGTAGGCACACTTTAGGGTGGTCCCCAGTGATCCTCTCCTCCTGGCTATTCATGCCTGTGTAAACCATGTCCCCTGAGTGTTGGCTGGTGACTCTGCTAGCAAACAGAATTAGGCAGAGATGACAGCATGTCCCTTTTAAGATTAAGTTACAAAAGGACTGTGGCTTCTGTTCTAGATGCTCATATTCACTCTCACCCCCTCTGAGGGGAGCCAGCTGCCCTGTTGTGAGCTGCCCTGTGGAGAGGTGCACGTGGCAAGGAACTGAATCCTGCCAACAATCATGTAAGCTCAGAAGTGGATCCCCCAATTCCCACCCCAGTTGAGCCTTGAGATGAGACCACAGCCTTGGCCGACACCCTAACTGCAGACTCTTGAGAGACTTGAGCCAGAGACACCCAGATAAGGGGAACCCAGATTCCTGACCCACAAAAATGATAATAAATGTTTGTTGTTTTCAGCTACGAAGTTTTGAGATAATCTCTTATGCAATAATAGATAAGTAATACATAGTGTGTACTCTGAATCCTCCCGAAAACACTTGCTGAACTGTTTAAAAACACCTTGTTTAAGAGAACAGATGTCTGCCTGAATAGTCAAAAAAGAATATCAGAAAATAGGATTTCAGAAGTTCCTTGGAAGGAAATGCAATACAGAGCAAAGAGAACTGGCCTCTAAGTTGGAAGACCCAGGTTCTAGTCCCAGGTCCACCACTTCCAACCAGGTTACCTTGGACAAATGACCCCACCATCCCGGGCAGCTGTTTTTTCACCTGCAAACCAGTCATCCCAGATATCTTCTAGTGTGCTTTCTAGACCTAATCATCTGAGTGTAGGTCATCTAGTGTGACAGCCAGGTAGGTAAAGCTACTCATCCTTTAGTGAGGAGAAACAGCACACTTCCTAGGGAACCCACTGCATTTTGGGCATCACCATTTGAAGGTTTTTCCACATACTCACCCACAACCTGTTACTCTGTAGTTTCCATCTGGTGATCTTAGATATAAGCGTCTATTTTGCATGAGGGCCTTTGGAGTGGAGAGTATGTGTGCACATCTATAATAGTACCATTTATTATTCACCGTGTTCCAGACTTTGCTAAGCACTTCATGTTGAGTATGTCATTTAACCCGTACAACAACCATGAGGTAGGCACTGGAATCCTCACTCTATGAGGAACTAAAGACTACTAGCTAGTCAATGGCAGAGCTGGGATTCTGTTTTACTAGCTGAAACGCACTGCCTCTCCATTTGCATATGAGAGGCACACAGCTGTCTCAGGGCATCTTAGCATGACATGGGCTGGGACTAACATCTCTACCGTGCTTGTCCAAGTCTGGATGTGTTTTGATTTCACAAACTCCCTTTTAGAAGGGAGTACTGAGCCAGGCATTTAATTTTGGTTTTTCTTAAAACAAAAACAAAAACTTTATTTATTTATTTATTTCTCCCCCAAAGCCCCAGTAGATAGTTGTATGTAATAGTTGCACATCCTTCTAGTTGCTGTATGTGGGACGCGGCCTCAGCATGGCCGGAGAAGCGGTGTGTTGGTGTGCGCCCGGGATCCAAACCCGGGCTGCCAGCAGCGGAGCACGCGCACTTAACCGCTAAGCCACGGGGCTGGCCCAACCCAACTTTTAAGTACTCTTTCCTTTTACAATCTTGAAAGAGATCATAATTCATTCAAAATCTATACTGACAAATATAAACATTATGCAATGTTATTTTATTAGAAAGATGAAAATCTGTCATCAGACTTCTAGTCTACCTTTCAAAAGTAAACTAAATGTTAACGTAAATTTCTTAAAACGTACAGTATTTCTGCTTCTATTTACCCTCAAACTCAGTCTGTCCAAAATTGTTCTAAATGGGCTTCCTCGTAAATGGCATGCCCAGTCTCCCAAGCTTGAAATTGGATTTAATTTTAACCCCTTCCATCCCCTTCAGCACTAAACCCAGTCAGTCATTAGGTTACTGGTTCCTCTAAATCCCTGCATGATTTTTATCACTTCTCCCCAGTCCACCTCCTCACCACCTCCTGACCTTCAATGGTTTCCAGACTCGACTCCCTTAGATCCACTCATCTCTTCTGCACTGTGGTCATGTAACTTTTCTGTAACATCTCGTTCATTATAAATGCATTACACATGGATTGGGCTCCTCTTATGTGCCGGGCATGGCACACAGACATGGGAACATAGTAATGAGGTGGTAAGTTCATGGAATGTAGATAGAGACTTGGAAGAGAAAGTGACACTTAAGTGATAAGTGAATAATAAATAGGAGGTGGACATATAAAATAGTTGTCTGTGAAAATGGAACAATACAAACAAGACAAGAAATGATAAAAATGTCTGACTCACTGAGGGATGGAGGGTAGTTAACAGTGGCTATCGCACAGGGTGTGAGAGGAACGGATAGTAAAGCAGGAAAAGTAAGTTATGGCTGTGGGAAGCCTCCTTCCTCTGCTCTATGTTTCCATGTGGCAGGACTTCCATTAGAATAACCAGGTCTTGGGCCGGCCCCGTGGCTTAGTGGTTAAGTGCTTGCGCTCCACTACTGGCGGCCCAGGTTCGGATCCTGGGCGCGCACCGACGCACCGCTTCTCCGGCCACGCTGAGGCCGCGTCCCACATACAGCAACTAGAAGGATGTGCAACTGTAACATACAACTATCTACTGGGGCTTTGGGGGAAAAAAAGGAGGAGGACTGGCAATAGATGTTAGCTCAGAGCCGGTCTTCCTCAGCAAAAAGAGGAGGATGAGCATGGATGTTAGCTCAGGGCTGATCTTCCTCACAAAAAAAAAAAGATTAACCAGGTCTCCTGCTCCACCCCTCACTGCTCCCCAAAATGGACTGGTGAATTTGGGAGGATCTGGGCATTCTCAACAGTACCCAGCTTTCCTTCTTCAGGATGCAGTCTTCCTGCAGGGAGCATCTTTGCTCCTATAGGGCCAGGAACCTGAGAGGAAGCCTTCACGTGTCCAGCTGTGTCCTGGGTGTGCAAGTCTCTCATGTAAGGGTAAAATAATAAAACCACTTTCCCACAAGCCTGAGCTGTGTTCTCCAACCTAGCTTGTATTCTTCTACTTACTTCTTAAATAATAAAGCTGGCCAACTGTCTGAATTTTTATTTTAATCTCTGTCTGAATCCTATGTCTGTCTCGTTTGGCACCTGAGTGGGGAAGAAACGGGTTTTATGAATTGGCATGGAATTAATATGATTAAGTCTGTGTTTTGGAAAGAAAGCTCTGGAAGCATGGCATTGGATGGAGAGAAAGTGGAGGCTGCTGTAATAGCCAAGGGAAAGATGATGAGGGTTATAGCGACAGAGGAATGGACAGATAAGATTTAAGTTAACAGCTTACAAGAATGAATGTACACTGAATGAGGGACTTGAAGAAGGGAACTGAGCTAGATAACGTCAAGGATCCTAGTTGGGGCCAGTGCACAAAATGATGACATCCCTCATCAACTAACCAAGCCAGGGACTCCAGGAGGAGCAGCAAATTGAGGTCAAGGGTCGGGTGGGGGTGAGGGTATGGAGACAGAGTTCAGGTATGAGGTGTCTGAAGTCTCACAGCACATTCGAAGACGTTCAACAGAAACACAAGCCTCAAACTCAGGATAGGTCAGGCCTGGAGATATACAAGAGGGAGAAAATGAGTCTGTCCAAGAAGAATGTGTAGAACGAGAAGGGTAGACAGATGAGAGGGCAAAACCATGGAACACTAATATTTAAGGTAAATCAAAAGAATAGGAAATCTGATGGAGAATAGGGAGCAGAGAACCCCACGATGAATAATCCTATACAAGTCACAAAAGTACTGAACAACTTCCATTGAATAAGACAGTCCTGCCTGGGCCTGCTAAACCCTCACCTCCAACACGGCTCTGAATCCTTTGAGGTACTTACCTTACTGTCAAAAAGTGAAAGTGGCTTCACAGTCTTCAGAGAAAACCTCATCACCGCATACAAGATGGAGCACAGGATGGAATGGTGCTCCACCAGCGGGTAGTGGATGTGTTTCTGTTCAAGGGCCAGTTCCACTATCGAGATTGGTCCTTCAACAGTGAGCCAAGCATCCTCAGTATCCAGGACAGGCGCTTGCATTTCATCCCTGCTAACATCTGCCTAAAGGTTTTGAGGACCGAAAACTGTGTTCAGAATTAGAGAAATAATAGCTTGCAAATATCTTAATGAGTTTACCAGCAGCAAAGTGCAAACCCATATTTCTCCCCATCCCCCCAAATTAGAATAAAAAAACATAAAATCTAATTCTAATAAGAAACATCACAATTTTTTAGGCTTAACCCAAAACTTAAAAATGAATAAATGAAAAGCGATCTCTTTCTACAGTGCTTTCTTAAGTCCAATGAGTTTCAGAATATTTAATATCTTAGAGACAGTTCAGAATGAAAATACACTTCTTTTACCTCCATTAAAGTCTGAAGAAGATCCAAGCAGGAGCCAAGGAAAGACGTCATTGCTGTGTCACTCATCCCCACGTCCTGTTTTTAAAAAGGAACATAATTAGCTCCTGCCAGCAAAACTGCTACAGTTACTCTCAGAAAAATAAAAAACAAAACAGAACACATCTATTCAACTGACTTTCTAGATTGAACAGACAGGCAAGAATTTGAAAGTCAAGGCATTAGTACATTTTAATTTCTTTCTTTAGATTTAACTAATTTTAAAATTAGACTTTAAAAAGATGGTACTACTATCAACTTTTAAAAATTGGTGTTCTTTGTGTATTGTAAAGATCACGGCACTTGCGCTCATCGTCCAGCTTGCTAAGGCCAAACAACAACCAAATCATGCGCCTGGTAAGATACACACATGAGAGTCCAACCTGAAAAGTTCTAAGAAAATGGCCCGGTCTAGTTCCAGAGCGTCTTTTAGGGACTGAACTGAACCTGCTGATCAAAACTAGAATCCTCAAGCCTATGGGGGATTCATGCTGTGGGCAACAGGTCATTCCCCTTGACGCCCTTCCAGGGCCTGCCAAGAGACCACTGCATTCACATACAGTCTTTTTTAAACCAACAACCAATAAATCTAGCACATCCTTAAAGTAAATAATTCAGAGTATGCATATAACTGTAGTCATAGAGCCATCCTCAAGAGCATACCAGCACAATTCTTCAACAATGGTGAATTTTTGGGACTAAAGGCTTATTATGGCTACATTCATGTGTCCCAATATTTCTTAAGATATTTGTAATGAGAATATTTCAAAGTTTTGAGCAAAAGCTAGCACTATCAATCCCTGGCCTCAAATATAAGCCCCAGTATCCGTGGACTGGAATAGTATTTAAGACTATTTGTACAGTGGCTATTCCATGCAGGTCGATCAAATTCACTACTCATATGAATCTATTTCAATTTGATGTTGTATGCTTCCATTATAAGCTCCTAATCCCAAGTACAGCAAAAATACGCAGCCATGGCAGCATGTTAACCTCCTGTCAACAGTCCAAAATTGAAGATGGCTTGTGAAAACTGAGTTTAAACATACTATCTGACAATCTGGAAAGGTGAATTAAAATTGGCCATAGTTCATGACCAGTTCCATTAATACAGTATTCTCCTTCCATTTTTCTTATCTCCTGATGTGTCATCAAAATGGTAGAAGGCAAAGTCCACTCCTCCAGTTAATAAGGTACCATGTAAAGTGCAGGATTAACGACTACACATCTAGTTAAGGGAGATTCACTTACCCTTCGGCATAACCTGTCCTTTGGTGATTTTCCAACCTAAGACAAAAGGACACAAAATGCTGTATTTATTTCATAATTTACATACAAAAGCAGTACTATGGTACAGGAAGTAAAAAGTAACCAAATTTTAATATAAATGCAGCTATACATAGATGTGGCAACCTCTCATCCATTTAAATGTTAGTTCTACTCATTTGTAACACAATGCAATTAATTTTGTGGGGGAACTTAAAAATATACCACACTGGACTTAAAAATAATCCTTTTCAAAAACAAACATTTTTGAACTGTTAAATAAAAAAAAACTCTAAAAATCTGGTCCTTATTTTGTATAATCAAATAACTGTGTTCCCTTAAAAGTCAGAACCAAACTCACAGTTCCAAATCAAAAGCAGCTAAGAATTTTGTTTGTTGACAAAGATACACAATTTTACATGGTCAGAAGGAAGAAAAAACAATCTAAAGCAGACAGGAGTTATATTCCCAGCTCAGAAAATCAAGTGATGTCCTTGATTCAGTCAGTACTCAGTAAGATTCTACTGACAACTTTATACAAGGTAACGAGTGGTAGATGAAAGTTCTGCTCCTCAGCACGTGACTTGATAAGACTAGAACTCACAGGGGACAGTGACAGTGGAAGCAGGGAGTCCAGGACCAGGGACTCTTCACCTCATCACCTCTCGCTGAGATTACTGCACCAGCCTTCGAGCAGCCAAGCTCAGCCCACCCCAATTCCAACATTTTCCACCCTGTTGCCAGATCTTTTTTTTTTCTTGTGAGGAACATCGGCCCTGAGCTAACATCTGTTGCCAATCCTCGTCTTTTTGCTGAGGAAGACTGGCCCTGGGCTAACATCTGTGCTCATCTTCCTCTACTTCACATGGGATGCCGCCACAGCATGGCCTGACAAGCGGTGCGTTGGTCCTCGCCTGGGATCTGAACGAACCCGGGCCACCAGCAGCAGAGCGTGCGCACTTAACTGCTAAGCCACCGGGCCGGCCCCTGGCAGATCATTTTTTAAAATGCATATCTGAACATATTCCTCTGCTTAAAACTGCCCTAATGTCTTCAAGATAAAATAACAGCTGCCATTTACGGAGCCCTCACCATATGTGCCAGGCCCCACGCTAAGCAGTTTAGACATATTATTAGAAAATAATTAGAAAATCCAAAAATTATTAGAAAATCCCAAATCCACAGCTACACTGTGGGAATTCACAGTGGGAAATTCTCCTCGCTCCTTCCCACAGCCTGTGCCCCTCCCGTACAAAGCTACTCGCAGCTCTGTGAATCCAACACGCTACCTCAGACCTCCAGGACTTTTTGCTGAATACGCTTCTTCTCACCCACTTGGTACTGGTTCACACACACTCATCCTTCAAAATTCAGCTCAGAAGCCTTCCCCTTGTCTTGTTGTTTATCCCTCTTCTGAGTTCCAGAAGCTCCCTACTATCTGTTACCTGTCTTTTAGACTGTGAGTTCTCTGAGGGCAGGACTTTGACTTTTATCTTGGCAATCAGAACCCACCACAGTCCTTGGCACATAAGAGACATTTATTATAATAAACAGTTATCGAATGAATGATCATAAACTCTCTGCTTCCTGGTTCAGGACTGTTTAAAACCAAACCTAAGTTCTGAGCATCAAATGCGACAGTGACGTGAGAATGCTGTAAAACTGGAAACAGTAAAACAGGGGCGGTCAGAGGTAAAGTAGAAGAGAACGACATCTTAAAGGCCAACAGGAGTGAGTTAAGTGGGAAGCAGCGGTTAGGTGGGCAAGGACGATGAGCACATGGGAGAGAACAGTTAGATTTAACTAGACAAAAATGTTACCCATGTCATTAAAGAAAGCATTTCAGAGGAGCGGTGGCCTAACGTGGGTCTGAGTTGTAGTGCTGTTCATGGTTTAGGAATGGCTGTCTCTGTGCATTTAAAAGACCACGTTGTCATTATGGTGGAAGTTCTCCTGACATGCACTGAACGGATGCCAGATTAACTGACATTCTCGACTGGCCTGTAAAACATCCTGATGAGGCCCCGGCCACTCTGCTTGAGGCCAGGAGGCCCCTCTCCAGTACGTGGCAGCTCCTGCTCCCACCAGGTGACTCTTATGCTCACATGTCATGTTTGTTCCCAAATCTACTTAGGCTGCTTGTACATGTCACTGTAATTATGTAATTTAATTAAATACGTGATGAAATATGAATGAGGAAAAAAAGGAGTTTATATGAATTCTATGTTGAATGCTTTAAAAAGATTTACAGAGGAGGGTAGCTAACTCCTAGGTCTACTGGATTACATAGAAAAGAAATAACTACAAAGATTAGGGGATAAATTATAAAAATCTAAAGATCTTGCACTCAGATTGCATCACAACTTTAAAGAAACAGGATTGAGAAATCAGAGGCAGTGCATTATGGGTGAGACTGATGTAAGCAAACCAAATCGGAACTGCAGTCAAACACATTCAAAGAAAACGTCTTGGCCCTACCTCCAAAGATAGGTCAGTAAGCGCACACTGTACGTTTTAATTTAAAATAAAATGAAAATATTTGCTTGACTCAACCTCAGTCCTAACCTCTTGGGTTAAGAGACTTTTACAGTATATTACTTTCTTTCGAGGATTGGGGCTCTTCAAGTCATCAAAGTGCAGCACTGGGAATTACGTTTAACTGAGCATGAGTAAAACAAAACATCAAACAAAAAATGGTCTAACAAGGCCAATGGAAACAATCTTTCTAATATCAGCCAATTAATTAAGGGAACCAGATCAACAAGAAGTCAGTACACGGAATTGAAAATTGCCTTACCTTATCCATTAAGTACGTAGCAGCAGAAAACCTTTTAACCAAGAATGTGTTCCACATCATCAGGGCAATGCCTACGTAGCAAGTAAAGGTCAAGTAGTAAATAGAATGCTTGTACATTTTCACTTTCATTATACATAACAAATCACTGTCTTTCTTAAGCTTATAAAACTATATGGGCTATTTATTTAGATATGATTTCTTATATCTTATGTAATATTTATAAAATTAATAGAAACTTTTATCTTTAATAAAAACCAGAACTGGGCTGCATAAGACGATATCCAAATGGCCCATAAGCATAAGAAAAGATTCACATCATTAGTTATGAGAGAAATATAAATTAAAATCACAGAGATATCACTACACAACCAACAGAAAGGCTAACTCTTTTTTTTTATGACAATAAGTGTTGGCAAGGAAGTAAAAACAACTGGAATGCTCATACATTGCTGGTGGGATAATAATTGTTAAAACCACTTGGAAAACTGTGTGGCAGTGTCTACTAAAGCTAAATATGTGTCTACCCTGTGACCCAGCAGTTCTCCTGCAGAAATGAGTAGAAAAGTACGTTCAAGAGTGTTGAGAACAGCTTCGTTCACGATAGACCAACACTAGAAATAACTCCAATGTCAGCCAATTGATTTTTTCATATGTAACCATCAAATAAAGTGACATATAAACAAGTAATAAAAAACAAAGCAAAATACAAAAAATATTTTTTTAAAAAACAACCAAAAACTCTGGGTTTTATACTTCCACCTTCAATAACCTTTAGGATAAAAATTTCTGAAATAGTCGTCAATTAGGCAGCATAAATACAACACTTCACATGCTATTATTATTACCACATAGCTGCTTTTGAGTGAAGAAGCCAGGAAGCTTACTCAATGTACAAATGGGCACAGCTCTAATGTGAAGAAATACTAGCCTGAAGTCAGTAGGTAACTTAATTATATCAATAAGGATAGACTACTCTAGAGACCATATTTTCCAAATGAGACACTTTAAATCTTTTTTTTTTCTTTGAAGAAGGTAAGATCTAAGAGATGAATAAATAAAATAATTTTCAAGTTCTCTTCAGGTAAAATGAGACATTTTAAGATTTTATTTATTTATTTTTTTCCCCTTAAAGCCCCAGTAGATAGTTGTATGTCATAGCTGCACATCCTTCCAGTTGCTGTATGTGGGACGCGGCCTCAGCACAGCCCGAGAAGCGGTGCGTCGGTGCAGGCCCGGGATCCGAACCTGGGTCGCCAGCAGCGGAGCGCGCGCACTTAACCGCTAAGCCACAGGGCCGGCCCAAAAAATGAGACATTTTAGAACTTCTGCAATTTGAAGGTCGTAAAGGTGAAGAACTTACCACACAGACATTAAGGCACTACCTCCTCTTACTCAGCCCAATGTCTAGTCTCACCACTTCGTAAGACGACTAACTAGCCTACGCTGAGTTCCTCATTTCTTACGGGGAAACCCACCTATCTATTAAATGGAACCGACAAACTGTTTACAATTTTTCAACATTCTGTAACATTCTTGCAATGAGACATCAGCAGTCCCCACAGTATGGCAGCCAATGAAGAATATCCACATTTACTAAAAGAAGCAGAAGGCAGTTTCTAGAGTAAAGTATTATTAGGTTTTGGCTCCCTAACTTTTTCATCAGGAATTACAGTTCTGAGCAACCCATCCCTCCTTCCTTATCTACCTGTGAACTAAAGAAGAAATCAATGATTCACGCAGAATATTCTCCTTACTCATACCCAAGTCGTCAGCTTGGGACACTAATGGGTCAGGACGGAGGTGATAATTACTGTCCCCTCTCTCCCCCCTCTGGAGAGTGTTCCTCCAAGCAGTTACAACAGCCAGCACTTTGTATACAGCAATACACAGCCATGTGTCAGGCAGTAGGGCCAAATAAAAAGATTAACAGGATGTGAATGTAAAGATTCTTGCCTCTTTTGAATCAACCAGTTATGTTTCTAACACTTGTTTACTTACCATTCTGAACATGTGCATTAAGAATGTGCTTCAAGTGTTCTATTGACCTAACAAAAAAACGTGCTTCCTTACATACAGGGAGGAAAAAGGAGAAAAAAAAAGAGGTATCATTTAATAGGTGTTTCAAATACAAACGGAGACATTCTTACATAAATTTCTATATAAAGCTACCCAAGAATGTTATAAGAACATGGAATTATTAGGTAAAAAGCAATTTTTCATAAGATAATGTCAATGGTCTCTCTCAAATTCATATTATCTATATAATGATTGATTCCTAGAAACCTGCAGGTCATATATGCTGACATCTGGATTCAAAATTTACTGTGGTTTGTACATCATAGCAATTCATAGAAATTCAGTATATACTTGAATTTCACACAGACAACAATGGGTTTCCTTCTTTGCAAATATCTTCATTCATTCATTCTTCAACGAATATTTATTAAGCATCTACCATGCACCAGGCCATGTGAGGCATCGGGATACTGTAATGAACAAAACAGACCCAAGCCCTTTACCCACCAATTCACTGAGGTTACATTCTAGTGAAGGAGCTGGATAATAAATATGGTTAAGTAAATTGTACGGTATGTTTAACGATAAGTGCCAAGGAGAAAATATTAAAGCAGTGAAGGGAAATATGAACTATCAGAGGGATGTCCGAAATTCAATTCTTCCTAATCAAGGTAGTTTACATATTAAAACTCAAACACAGTATGTAAAACTGATGAAATTATCCAGATCTTTGCAATAACTTTGTGCAAAGATTAAATACATCACCTTTGTCAACATATGTAACGTGTTAGAATTTCCCCAAAGGTAACTTCAGTTGTTTTGAGCCTAATAAGCTGTGTGTGTAAAATGGCGGGGGTGGGTGGGGCAAGGAGATAAATATTTAACAGGAAAAAAGAACAAACAAGAAAAATGGCCACTTATTTTAAATGTAAACAATTTTAATAATAGACAATGATAACACTAATTAAAATGCCAGGCACTACGCATGCACTTTCTCTATAACCTGGCACAACTCTTCGAGATAGCTATAGTCCTCATTTACTTTAATGGAGAAAATTGAGAACAGAGGGTTCAGAAACGTTCCTACAGGTCACACAGCCAATAAGTAGCGGCAATGGGACTTGAACTCAGCTCTGTGTCTGTTATGCACACTGCCTTTGGTTTACAAATGAATGCTGTAAAAAATAGAGTTTTTTCCTTAAATATCACTTTCTTAGACTTGAACCTGGGATTAATTCACTCAGATTTTAGAAATTATTATGTCCTTGTTCTAGTCCTAATATTCTTTTTTCATGTAGGAAAAATGCATAGAGGTCTTTTATGTAGGAAAAATAAGTAGGCTCTCCTTAAGCAGAGAGTGGAAATGTGACTACCATTGAGGCTGGAGGGAAGTCAACTGAAGAGGGGACCCTGTCCTAAAGTCACTTTTTGGTCAAGGTTTAATTAATCAAAGACCATTCCTTTGTTTAAAGCATTTCCTTTTTTACTGTCTTCCTTTAAGATGTAGGTAATTACTTTTTTTTTTGGAGGAAGTAAAAGTATCATTACCATTAATATATTAGCATGAACTAGTTCACCAGTGAGATTTTTCTTCAAGAGGGTATAAGGTCAATAAAGGAAAGAATTTTGATTTGAGAGGCATGATTTACCAGGGCACTGACTAGGGAGGCCTATGTGAAGGACTTACTGGCAAAGAGGAATATCCATCGTATGTTTTTTTTTTTTTTTTTTTAAGATTTTATTTATTCAGTTTTTTACCCCCAAAGCCCCAGTAGATAGTTGCATGTCATAGGTTCACATCCTTCTAGTTGCTGTACGTGGGACTCGGCCTCACGTTGGATGGAGAAGTGGTGCCTCGGGGCGCTCCCGGGATCCGAACCCGGGCCGCCAGCATCAGAGCGCGCACACTTAACCACTAAGCCACGGAGCCGGCCCCCATCGTATGTTTTTACATCTTATTTGATCCTGGTGTCAATCCTGAAGGATTGGCACCTTCATTAAAAAGGGGTGGAGAGAGAAAAAAATAGGTTCAGAGATTCAGTGACTGGCCCAAACCCAGATGTTTGTGTCAGAAATTCATCTGGGATCCAAATCCAGTTCTCCTGCCCGCAGGCTGGCCTTCTCCCTGCACAGCTTCTAGCCAGTGAGTGCCCTGGGAGAGAGCGTGAAGTGGAAGAAAATGATGTCCACCCAGAGGTGAGAGGGCAACGACGCTAACCCTGGACTAGAGTCAGCCCTGCACACAGTATGGCTTTCTTGATTTTTCTCTGGAGACAAACGTTAAGAGAAGTGATGAACCAAAACAGACCTGTCTCAGCAATCAGACATAGGTTGGCGTCAGGATCCTTCCTCTGGCTTTTATCATGATGACTAGAATATTACCAATTTTCTGGTGGTAGGTGCTATCTCATACAGGAACTCAAAAGGAAATAAAAAATACACTTATCATAACCCAACTAGGAGTAGGGCAAAACACACTGGATTACATATAGACACCTACACTGAAATCCTGGCCCAACGACTGATGCAGCCGTGTGTCCTGAGGCAAGGACAGCCCTCGTCTTCTCTTCTGTAGAGTGGGGACAGTGACAACACCCACCTTCATAGGTTTACTGAGGATTATAAGAGAAAATGTATGAAAGAGGCCTAGCACAGCTCCTAGACATCCCAAAGGGGAAAAACCTGGTGTTTACAATAAGTTATTTAATGAAACTGTCTCACATATGTATAGCATGAGCAGAGACAGAATTAACACGAAAGAGGTCACGAGAACCTCACCTCTGGGTCTTTATTCCACTGAACAACGTACTCCCAACAGCAGTGTGTGTGCAGCACGTCCAGCTCCAGGCTGCACGGAAACTGCTTGTAGGCCAAATGCAGCAAGTCTGAAAGTCAGAAGAGAGCAAGGTTTTATTCTTTCCTTCATGAAAACAGCTGCATCTCCCCTCTGGATTTCATATTTCCCCGCAGTTATGTATTACCTGGAATGGCTCCCAAGTCCATCTCTACCTCTGACACCTCAAATAAACCTCTGTTAATACCTTCTTTGGGTTCATCTGGGTTTTCTGTATCTCTTTCTTTATTAGCCAGTTTTAATACTTCAGGGCTGAAATCCTGTTTAAATATCCACTTGGCTACTGTGTCTGCAATGCCACCTACAGTGTGGAGACAAGAAAGAAAATGACGATTTGCAGTGTTTGCCAAAGGAGCCAATACAGTGCATGATCCGCGTCTCCTTATGCAGAGAACTAAGCACCACACTCAGTTTTAAGCCCGAAAGTGATCCCCCACAGCCAGGAGACTTACAGCAGTGTTATTACCTGCCACTCAGCGTGTGAGGGCAAGTGGGATTCTGGTATTTTTATACTCTCGTAAAGTATTAGATAACTATAAACACATACACATACACATGTCTATGTACCACATACCTTCTACGTTCACAAATTCAAAATATACTTTACCTGACAAAGATGAAGGGATGAATACATCTTTAACACACTTTCACTTAAATATCAGTGAAAACAGACTGATTAGCATGATACTTATCTAGACTTCTTAGGGCAATCTATTACTTTTAATAGTCAACTAACTTGCCTCTATGGAACATTTACGGCCAAAATTTAGCCATAGCATAGCTAATCAAACGACATGATACTGTACCATGTTCCGGTCACCAATATAGTCCAAAAATTATAAATGCAAACTGAAAAACATTCAAGATGAAGAGTCCTGTTTACTACCTAAAACAAATTATGCATTTTTCTGTAATTTACCAACACTTTTCCTCTCAGTCTTTCCTCCTGTTTCGATTCAAATAAAAACCTTTTCACAAAGAGAATGCTTCACAGTAAAATTACAATGATTGGTGAAAACAAATGAGAGCAGTGTGCTGGGGGATCTAGTTTCTTATGTTTGGCTTCTAAACCATTTGATCATTCTCACTGCAGAATCAAGCCCCTGATTACATTGCTTAGGTTAATATCAAAATACTTTTCCTATACTTTCACCTGGGGGCAGCATGGAGTGCAGTGAGTTAACAATTAAAAAATTTTCACAAGTCTTATAGAGAAAGAGAAAATGAGCTAACTAAATAAAAATTTATAAATACCTGGGTGTTTATAAACCCAGAAATACAGTCATTCCAGTATCAAATGCCCGAGAGAGCTGCTGGTAAGAAGAGGGAGTATGCCAAGATAATTCAAAATTTAAGATGCTTATGGTCCTGCAAGATCTAAGCACAGGAACCCCATGACTCCAGGACAGGAGAAAGTGATGCATCAGAAAAGAGGTATAAAGTTCTGTGGAATTAGGAGGAAGAAGAGAAAATCTGCAGTTAGTGGATCATGAGAGGTTTCCTGGAGGAGGCAGCATTTGAGCTGGGCCCTGAACGATGAGTAAGATATAGAATCTGAGTGGGAGAGGCGGGGAAAGGGAAGACGGCAGGCTCAGACCCAGAGATGGGGAATCACACAGATGTTGCATTTGAACCCAAATCTAACAACAAGCAAGCAAGAAATGGAAAAATGGCTCAGATTCAAAGTCAAACCACTGGGCCCGTGGCCTAGTGGTTAAGTTCATGTGCTCCGCTTTGGCAGCCCGGGGTTTGTGGGTTTGGATCCCAGGTGAGAACTTACACACCACTCATCAAGCCATGTTGTGGTGGCGTCCCACACACAAAATAGAGGAAGACGGGCACAGATGTTAACTCAGGGCTAATCTTCCTCAAGCAAAAAGAGGAAGATTGGCAACAAATGTTAGCTCAGGGCCACTCTTCTTCACCAAAAAAAAAACCAAGTTCTTGGAGAGAAGGCTTAAGAGTTCATACTTTGTTCCAGCAGTCCTTGAACTTCTTAGTCTCAGTCTTAGTCCTTTAAACTGTTAAGAATTACTGACAACTGCAAAGAACTTTAGCTTATGGGTTACATTTACCAATATGTATGGTATTAGAAATTAAAACTGAGAAATTTAAAAATTATTACTTTATTTTGAAATAAAAATAATAACCCATTACATGTTAATATATTATGAAACTAACTATATTTCCCAAAGCAAAAAAAAAGATATTTAGTGAGAAGAGTGCACCACACTTTTGCAAATCTCTTTAATGTCTAGCTTCTACCTGGATTCTCCAATCAGCCTCTGTGTTCCATCTCCTGTGACCTGTTGTTTTGGTTGAAGTATATGAGGAAGATCCGGCCTCACACAGACATGAAGTTGGAAAAAGGAGGGCTCTTGGGGTCCCCTAACCCTTCTTTGAGAACCGCTGCTGATTCTCTAAGGCAAGGGGAAGTAGCTGGGGGTTCCTGAGCAGGGAACTGATAGGATCAGACTCTGAGAAGATCAACTGAGAAGTATGTGGCGGGTCTTTTATTTATTTTTAAAATCTGAGTGTATTTCTCTTTCCTTATTCTTTCAGTCATTTCTATTAAAAAAAAAGCCCATATTGTAAAAATATAGATATACAGATACAAATGCTCAAATAAACTTCAGGTTACCTTTCCCTCCTTCCAATAACTTTTTAACAGAAAGCCTGGGGAGTGGCTCAGCCTGCAGTGACGACATGCTGGAGGTTCGCGTGTTCACTCTGCTATGAAGCAGAGTCTGAAGTATGAGACAATCCTCCAGTTGTTTCAGCAGGAGTTTCCAGTATTCAGTGTCGAGAGAAAGGGCCTCCCAGGAGTCAGTGAGGGCCTCCGAATCAGGACCCAGTGCTGTTTGGGAAAACTAACAGAAAATGCACCGGTGTTAACTCTGGCAAAGATTCTGAATCAACATTAACCTGAATAAGCTTTTAACTTGAATGCTGATGGACAGTTAGGATACATGACAAAGAAACACAGGGATGCTGTTGCACAAATATTACTGCCTGGCTGGGTGAAACCTAAGGGCGAGGAGTAGACTGAGGACTTAGGGGCAATGATGAAGGAGTTCAGATGTTCACAAAGGGCCTGCAGTATTACATCCAATTCAACCAATGGACACTTCAGAAGTTTTCAGGGCCACAGCTCTTTCTATCTGTATCAGGATATGGATATCTCTTCAGAATTCACTCGCTAACATAAAATGTGTCTCTCAAATTTCTTCTCTCTCCATTATTATAAACATCTTAAGCTAGGAATATTAAATTTAGCCTGTAAACTGAGACTGACAATGCTGAGTGAATTTCTACAGATCTATTTAAGGGTCTCATCCAATTTAATGAACATCGCCTAGGAAAAATAATTTGACTCACCACAAGACATAAGGGATGTTAGTCTTTTTTTTTTTTTAAATAAATTTGAGTCTTCAAGAGATGAGGAAAAACCACAAAGCAAAAGGTCAATAGGAAACTTTCATTTGAGTTATTCAATGCTACATGCCAAAAACAACCTATGTTGATAAAAGGAGGTGTAAATGCAACCATAGAACCTCAGAGCTAGAAGGAACCTGAGGAACGTGAGGTCAGTCTAACCCTGACCTCTTCTGCATGAGGAAACGGGCACTCATTTTAAGGGACTCACTACAAAGCAGCAGCTATTGGCGGACAGCAGATCTCTGCACTCCAACTCCAGCACTTTTCCTTACGCCATGTGGCGACTGCTAAATTCAAGTCTGCGTGTCATCTGAATAAGCACATTAAGGACAGCACCCCTCACCCCCGAAAAGACAAATAAGAACCTGCTGGACACACGTATCAAATTCTAGACGTTCCACAACACCGAGGGCAACGTAGCCCCAGAAAGGGAAAAGCAGCCCCTTAGCCTCCTGGAAAGATCCCGATGAAAGTTGCCCCTTTGCCCGCTTACTTTTTTCTCTGTCATGTTGTTGGATATCTGCGCGGCAACGGAATGCCCAACGTGTGCGGACAAGAGAGCAGCCCCGTTGTTCTCAGACTGGATGCAAGCTGTGCGCATCTGCTGCCACCAAGGGGACACAGACTGGGAATCCCAGGTCTCATCGATGGCCACTACAGGCAGACGGGAGAGGTTAAAGGAGAAACTCTTCGTTTGTTGTGTTTTTTTTGGTTCAATCTTTCACATTAAACATAATGTTAAAACTAAATTCCCCACTGACGTTATCTGTATACTTCTGAATGAATTGGAAAGTAAATCTATGATCTATTTTACTCAGAACATGTCTATTCCATTATTTGTGCTGTGTTAGTCATCTTGCTTCTGAATCAACTTTAAATCCCTGTTTGGAATATTTTCATCATTGCTGAAAACTACTACTGAATGTTTCCATATGATAGATTAGTGTTCAAATCGTGCCAAAAATAGTAAGAAAAATATTACCTCCATCAAAGCCCATTCTTACCTGAGTTAAGAAAATGCATTCATTGTTCACAGCACATGATTTTTGATGACATAAAATACAAATTTAATTTTAATAAAGTATACTTCAAATGCATTAAGAGCTTTCTATTAACACATGAAAGAATCCCTCTAGTGAAAAGTTTTATACACTGTAGTCTCCTTCTGCTAGGAGAAATGATCCTCCCTCCCCGCTTCCGTGGTATTTCTAACTCTAGACTTTGTTTCCGAGAGCAGCAGCCCACATTCCTGAGAAGGCTGACCCACAACATCCACCAGCACTTTACCTTTCATCTTGCTCAGGAGGGACAGCATTGTATGAAGACAGCAGACAGACTGCGGTTTATCCAAAATATCTTTTTCCTTAGATAGCCAAACACTCAGGAGCAGAGACTGAAACCAAATTTAAATCTCTTTCAGTCTAAAAAAATATTTCAAGTAGACAAAATCTTGCACTTTTCTAGAGAGCACATGTGTGTATGAGTGATTCAGTCTTTCAGGTTGGGAAATAAGTGGTTACTTGTTATGTCAGGTAACGTGAGGGACAGAACAGGGTACCTTGTCTACCTAAGAGATTCTTCATCATCTGCCAGGCATCTAAATTCCACATTTCCCTCTCTTCTTTGGGTTAAGCACCGCCTTCCAGTCTAGCCTTCATTAGGAGCATATCACCATTAAGGGCACCACTACGTTAGCATGGATTCACTGTAGATCGGTGAGGGACCACTCAGCTGTAGGTTTTTTTTTAAAGATTTTATTTATTTATTTTCCCCCCAAAGCCCCAGTAGATAGTTGTATGTCATAGGTGCACATCCCTCTAGTTGCTGTATGTGCGACGTGGCCTCAGCATGGCTGGAGAAACGGTGCGTCGGTGCGCGCCCGGGTTCGGAACCCGGCCCGCCAGCAGCGCAGCGCGCGCACCTAACCGCTGAGCCACAGGGCCGGCCTTCAGCTGTGGGTTTTGACTGGAGGAGAGAGGGAGGATCTGGAGCTGTGGACCTTGCCCTTACCTTGGCTGTACAAAGGCACTGCGGACTTGGCAGTGGGGAACAAGTACGTAAAACTATCAAACTCTAAATTTTAAATCACTAACAAGTCATGAGAAACAGATTTTAAACAAAAACACTTAAGTCACCATAAGTGACTTTTGACGCCTATAAACCAGTATATCTACTTCAATTTGAAACATTTTAAGATTTATATAATTTGTACACAGATAACTTTGGGATAATGAAAAATTTAATGGCATGTGTCACAGCTGTAAGTACTGGTGTCTGCGACAGACGTTGATCGTTTATAATTCTGCAGCACCTTCAGTGATAAAAAGCTCTAAAATAAAAGGCTGACTATCGGTTTAAATGTATTAATACAAATAATTTTCAAAAATGCAGAAGAGTAGGAAGTGGAAGTGTGTGAAGGAAATTAACTTATGAGAAGGACCTACAGGCCAGGAGCTACGATAAGTACTTGACATGCGTATCACCTCATTCGATCCTAACAACTTCTTGTGGTGGGGACGATTATGCAGATTTTACAAATAATGAAAAGGAAAAATAACTCACCCAGCACCACACAGTTAATGAGTTAGAACTAAAGTCTGAACCGAGACCTGCCTGATTCTAACACACCTTTTCTCTTCTCTCTCAAAATACATGTGTACACCCATGTATATATGTGTGTACAGGTACATATAAATTTATATATGTAAATAATTACAAATATAAATAGACACACACTTTTTAAAGTGAAGTCTACTTCTCCCTCTTTTTAACTTTTCTCTCTTTTTTGTTTAACCCTGCCATGTCTCTCCCCTTGTCAGCCCCCTTTCTACCTCATCCTATCCAGAAACCTTTTTATTTTTTACAACCAAACGTCCTTTCATATTTTCTCTCATATTCATAAAACAATGATAATGGTAACAACAATAAATGCTAACAGTTATAAAGAGCTTACCATGTGCCAAGTAATGGCACTAACAGCTTTATAAGTGTAGATAAAAGAGTATTCTGGAGGGGAGATGGGGAGTGGGGAGTCACTGTTTTACAAAAATGGGATCATATGATCCCATGTTTATTCCACTTGCCACACAACATCCTGTGTAGTCCACAAATTTTGACTGACTTTATCCATTTACTAAAGTTATGCCCTCTCTTCGAGACTTCTCTTAACCTCATAGAACACTGCTGCTTATAACCACTAGGGCAGGCTAAAAAAACCCTGGTTGCCTATATAGGCAACAAAGACATTCTGTCATCAATTGGAAATTACCGTCTCAGTGTTTTCTGTGCACATATGCTGTGAAGCAAATCAAAAGACAATGAGGGGGGAATGGGAGAACTAATCTTTTAGATTCACTCTTGCCATTAGACTCACTCTGATTAATTTTAGGCACAAAATGTATGACCAGGGCTTATTATTTTTTTAATTTTATGGCGGTCATAATAGTTGATAACATTGTGAAATTTCAGTTGTACGTTATTATTTGTCAGTGCCCCTTTACCCCTTATGGCCACTCCACAACGCCGTTCCCCTCTGGCAACCACTAACCTGTTCTCTTTGTCCATGTATTTGTTTATCTTCCACATGAGTGAAATGACACTGTGTTTGTCTTTCTCTGTCTGGCTTATTTTGCTTAACATAATACCCTCAAGTTCCACCCATTTTGTTGCAAATGGGACGATTTTGTCTTTTTTTATGGTTGAGTAGTATTCTACTGTATATATATGCCACATATTTATCCATTCATCAGTCAATGGGCACTTGGGTTGCTTCCACATCTTGGCTATTGTGAATAACGCTGCAATGAACATAGCGGGGCATAAGACTCTTTGAATTGTTGATTTCAAGTTCTTTGGATATATATCCAGTAGCGGGATAGCTTGGTCCTATGGTATTTCTATTTTTAATTTTTTGAGAAATCTCCATACTGTTTTCCAGAGTGGCTGCACCAGTTTGCATTCCCACCAGCAGTGTACGAGGGTGCCCTTTTCTCCACAACCTCTCCTACATTTGTCCTTTTTTGTCTTGGTAATTATAGCCATTCTAACAGGTGTAAGGTGATATCTCATTGTAGTTTTCATTTGCATTTCCCTGATGATTAGCGATGCTGAACATCTTTTTATGTGCCTGTTGGCCATCTGTAGATCTTCTTTGGAAAAATGTCTGTTCATATCCTCTGCCCATTTTTTGATCAGGTTGGTTGTTTTTTTTTGTTATTGAGTTGTATGAGTTCTTTATATGTTTTGGAGATTAACTCCTTGTTGGATATGTGATTTGCAAATATTTTCTCCCAGTTGGTGGGTTGTCTTTTTGTTTTGTTCATGGTTTCCTTTGCCTTGCAGAAGCTCTTTAGTCTGATGTAGTCCCATTTGTTTATTTTTTCTTTTGTTTCCCTTGCCGGAGTAGACATGGTATTCATAAAGATCCTTCTAAGATCGATGTCAAAGAGTGTACTGCCTATATTTTCTTCTAAGAGTTCTATGGTTTCACATGTTACCTTCAAGTCTTTGATCCATTTTGAGTTAATTTTTGTGTATGGTGAAAGAAGATGGTCTACCTTCATTCTTTTGCATGTGGCTGCCGAGTTTTCCCAACACCATTCATTGAAGAGACTGCTTTCTCCATTGTAGGTTCTTAGCTACTTTGTCGAAGATTAGCTGTCCATAGGATGTGTGGTTTTATTTCTGGCTTTCAATTCTGTTTCATTGACCTGTGTGTCTGCTTCTGCGGACCAGGGCTTATTTTAAGAGTACACCAGGTTTATAAACACACTGATAGGTTTAGCGTCTCTCAAAGCTTGATTCATGTCCCTGCCAGCAACAAAATTTCAAGTGCTCATAAAGACTGCCAACCCAAAGGCTTATTTTACACTAAATCATATTTAGACAAATTAAATGTCATGCCCTGGACCTCTCTTCGTACTATGAGCTCTTCTACTTTTCTCTCCAACTAATCACTCCCCCTGTCCATCACCACCTTTAGCAAATTCTGAAACAAACAAAAAAACCTGTTCCTCTGCCTAACTCCCCTTCCCTGTCTCTTCCTAGGCTGGCCCTTCTCTATCTCTCATCCAATCAGGTAATCTTTGCTTATAACCCAGAGTGTGTTTTTCTTTCTTTCTTTTTTTTTTTGCTGAGGAAGATTCGCCCTGAGCTAACATCCATTGGCAATCTTCCTCTTTTTCTTTTTTTGTGCTTGAAGAAGATCAGCCCTGAGCTAACATCTGTGCCTATCTTCCTCTACTTTGTACATGGGACGCCTCCACAGCGTCGCTGATGAGTGGAGCAAGTCCGCGCCCGGGATCCGAACCTGTGAAACCGGGCTGCCAAAGTGGAACACGCAGAACTTAAACCACTTGGCCAGGGGGCCAGCCCCATTTTTTTTTTTAATAAACTTTAAAAATTCCAATCAATTAAGCTTTTGTTTGTACTAGAAGGTCACCGTAAAATAGAGGATGCCATGGGAGCCATCAGAACACAACGATACAATTTTAGAATCACTTACAGGCAACAGAAAGATTTTTTTAAACTATAGAAAAAATTAAGGTGAAAGAAGAAAATACAGAGATAAATTAAGCTACCACATAGAAACATACACATGGCCATACACAACAGGAAAAGATAACATATAGAAGGTAACTATTTCTTAACTAGTAAATACAAAATTCAAAACATCATAGCAAATAATGTCACACTATATTATTCAGAATGCGAACATTCATATTATAGATTCACATATTATAAATGTGAATTATGTTATTTCACATGTAAATGTCACATATTGACATACTACGAGATGAAATTTGAATAACAGATTTTGATTAATAGAAATCTGGAGAGGAAATTTAGTTAATTTCTCTGTTCTAAGTCAGGCAGTAACTAAGACTTGTTAAAACTTGTACCTAAGAATGAAACAGAAAATCCCACAAGTCCTTGGTTGATGTTTCTAACACCTAATGAACGTTAACTTTTGCAAAGTATCCTCCTATAACACTGACATCCTAAATGTTTCAATCCTTCACTCAAGTGGAAATGCTGGCAGAGAGAACGTGAGGAAGCCATCTGTTAGCCTTGCGTGTCTACATTTTTAAAAAACCTATTTTGTCAGTCTTTTGGACGAGCCTTATTGTCTAGTCTTTCCTGAAAACTAGAGTTTGCCTTAGGGTACAGAATCTAAAACTTGATAAAATTCCACTGAGGATAATTATAAAGTTTTAAATGCTGTGAAAATCTATCAGCTGTCACCTGTGAATTACACTAATAGAGAAAAATAGTGACTAAATCCAATATAAGTTTTAGAGAAAAATCTGTGGGTATAGTACATCTAGAATTTATACAACCTAGATTATAAATACCAAGTTTCTTCATGAATATAATTCCAATAAAATTACCATTTAAAATTTTCAGAAAATAATCTGAAAAGAATAGGAAGAGTTATTAGCATTTCAAATAGATTGTCTTTATAACACTAATAATATATTTTGCTGAAAGACATCACTTTTTATTTATGATTTTTACATCTAAAAGTCTGTTCACTCTTTTAATATAATACAACAGAAGTTTATTCTCTTTAAAAGCTATTTGAAATTTAATAACTCAGGAAGATGTCATTGGTCTATTTTGACACTGGCACTAACTGCTTTGGGAACGAGCAAGATGCCAGCAGAATGCACACTTACTGCATGGTGCACAGGACCCCTGCACCTATGTTCCCAGGGCCAGAGGGCTTAGTGAAGACCTGAGTGTGGGCTGCCCTTTCCTCTGATTGCTGTGACCACAATGACCAAGCAGGCTTTTTTAAAAGCTGGTCTTATTGTACATTCTTTTAATTCTTGGGCTTTGCATTTTTTTTTTTTAGAGAAGTTCTCCCTTCCCTTCCCATTCATAACTATTAATTACATGCTTTAAGTGATGATGCCTTCTTACCTATTACTCTGTACTCATGAGAGGATTTTTTATAATTAAATGATTGCTTAAAAGCATTTAGGTGCTGATATAATATTTAAAGAAAGAAATCTAGCCATAAAACATTCATCTGGGAAAAGCAAAGGAAAAGAGACCAATCATTTGGAATGTGTGAGATACAGTCTCTGAGTTAGATGATTTTTAAAAAAATAATTTAATGTAAAATTATAACCCATTTTATAAATTTTATAGCACATAATATACTTACAGATCACAGCCCTATGGGTTTCAAGTAGGGAAATTTCCCATATAATACATATGACTTTATTATAGTAGAATGTATATATTTACAATAAAATTTCCTCATTTTAAGTTGGGTAAACAACACCATAAACACGATAAAGTGCATCTCCATCAAGAGTTCACTTGTGCCTCTTTGTGGTCAGTCTCCAACCCCCACCCTCATCCCCTGGCAAATGTTCAGCTCCTTTGTCACTATATTTTTGCTTATTCTACTATTTCATATAACTGAAATCGTACAGTAGGTAGTCTTTTGTTTTGGGGTCTTTTCACCTAGTACAGTGCTTTTGAGATTCCTTTATGTTATTTTGTGTACCAGTAGTTCATTCTATTACATGGATAGACCATAATTTATCCATTTATCAGTTGGTGGATATGTGGGTTATTTCCAGTTTGGGCTATTATAAATAAAGCTGCTATAAATATTTCAGTCCAAGTCTATGTGAACATATATTTTCATTCCTCTTGATAAATACCTAGGAGTGAGATTGCTCGATTTTATGGCAAATCTATGTTCAATTTTATAAGAAACTTTCAAACTGTTTTCCAAAGTGGCTGTATTAGTTTCCATTTCCATTTGCTGCATTGAGAGATCTGACTGCTCCATATCCTCGTCAACTCTCTGATCAATCTTTCCAATTTTAGTCATTCTCTTGGGAACGAGACACTGTGATTTTTTTTGCATTTTCCTAAAGGCTAATGATGCTGAATATCTTTCAGGTGATTATTTGCCTTTTGTATGTATATTTTTTGGTGATGTGTCTGTTCAAATCTTTTGCTCACTTTTTAATTGTATTGTTTGTCTTATTATTGAGTTGTACAAATTCTTTGTATAATGTGGATAGAATTCATTTATCAGAAAGAAGTTTTGAAAAAGAGTCTTGTCTTTTCAGTTTCTTAACAAAGTCTTTTAAAAAACCTAAGTTTTGAATTTTAATGAAGTATAATTTGTCGGTATTTTTCTTTTATAGTCCATGTTTTCTGTGTCCTGAGAAATATTTGCCTAAACCAAGCTTTCTCTTATGTTTTCTTCTATAAGTTTTGTAGTTTTAGCTCTTATATTTATGCTTTCATTTTGACTTACCGTTTATAAATGGCTTGAGGTAAGGTTCAAGGTTCATTTTTTTTAAGTGTTTCTTTGACCCCAGATTTAAAGCAGACAACAAACTTTTATTGATATTGATTAAACACAATGTAAAATAAGAACTATTCTGTACTCATCTTATGTAAGCATCTCAACTTTGAATAAAAGGTATTACTTATCTCCTTTCTTTCTAACTTTTCTTATTATTTTATGTCATTTTTTTTGGTGAGGAAGATTGGCCCTGAGCAAAATAGGGGATGCCACCACAGCATGGCTTGATGAGTGGTGCATAAGTCCGCGCTTGGGGGCCGAACCTATGAACCCTAGGCCACTGGAGCATGCGAACATAACCACTACGCCACTGGGCCAGCCCCTTAACTTTTTATTCTGAAATAATTATAGATTCACTGGTAGCACAGGGAAGTCCCATGCACCCTTCTAGCAATCTCCCCTGAATGATATCTTACACAGTACCAAAACCAAGAAATTAACGTTGGTAAGAGAGCCTACTCAAATTTCACCAGTAACACATGCACTCAATTTATGTGTGCCTGCAATTTTATCACATGTGTAGCTTTGCATGACCATCATCACCATCAAGACACCCAACGAGATCATTGGTACAAGACTCCCTCGTGTTAACCCTTTATAGCCACACCCATCTCCTCCCCCAACTCATCCCTAACCCTTGGCAACCACTAATCTGTTCTCCATCTCTGTAATTGTGCTATTTCATGACTGTTACAAAAATGGAATCATGCAGCATGTGTCTTTTTAAGATTAGCTTTTTTCCACTCAGCATATTTTCCTTGAGGTTCATCCAAGCTGTTGTGTATATCAATAGTTCACTCCTTTTTATTGCTGAGGAGTATTCCATGGTAAGGATGCACCACAGTGTGTTTAACATTCACCCACTGAAGGACATTCACGTAGTTTCGGTTTTTGGCTATTATGAATAAAGCTGCTTATGAACATCCATGTACAATCTATGTGTATCTTTAACTGCTTTACTTCCCGACACATATGCTGCATAGTGAGGCAGAATAGAATACATTTTTAAAGGACTTAAATGTTCAGTTAAAACAATGCATGAACGCAGTCAGTAAGTTCAATAAGGTAGAATGCTTAAATCCTGGCCAAAATATAAGATGTGAGTGGGAGTGTGAAAGAGTATGTATATGTGTGCATGTGGCGGGGTGGTAAAGAGAAGGGGGGTAACTTCCCTTGGCCTTTTCAGAAAGGGCAAAAGTTTAGTGTAGTTTTTCCATTGGATGATTCTTTTATTCACATCTGTTACAGCACAGAGATTAAATCCTAACATATATTCAAAGTTTGGAAATGTTTGATAATTCTATATTGCTTTAAAGGAAATTTATTTTTTGTCTAAATAAGATCTTTTTTAGTTCTAATATGAACATTTTTACTGATGATCACAGTCCATTGTAAATGCATGCATATATGTCAGATTCTAAATTTATTTTAGGCCAACCATTGAATATGCTTGTTATAATTTATGGGGAATGAGAAAACTAAAATAATATTCTTCAATGAAATGTGGTGATTATAAATTTCTTTGATCATTTTTACAAAGTTTTCATGTATGTTCTACAATATGCTTTAGCCAATGGTAAAAAAAGACTGATACTTCTGGATGACATTAGCAAGAAAGAACAGCATCCAGCAACAAGAAACCTTACCAACAACAGCTGAGGGCTAAGTCCAGACGACTCCAAAGTGTGACACATGTCCTCAGTGGAGCTCTCGCCATGCAAACACTTCCAAAAAAAGAAACTGCCTAGTAACACAAAAACAGAATGCATCAACCAACGACTACTTACCAACTGGACTAACAATCTTCCTGAGTTGCAATCTACATGCCCATAGGATCAAAACAACATGAGAGAAGGGAAAGTAATGGTCCAACTTGCTTGATTTATTAAAGCAGAAGGCAAATCATGACTTGTCTAACACTGTCTCTTAAGCAGACTTCTTAATACAATATGACTTTTATGACGTAGTGCCTAGATATCCAGAGTTTCATTTGTTGACTGAAAAATATACATTAGATTCTTTGGTTAATATAATTTCAAAACAAACAGAATCTTTGAGGTGTTGGAAGGTTCTCCTGGGCTTTCATCTAGAAGAAGAAGGATTCAAAGAGCAGTTTCTTACTCTACCTACCCAAAGCCACATACTCCTCTTCACTTATCTTCTTTATGTTGAGCGCATCTTTCTCATATTCTAAATATTCCAGGAATGTTTTTACAGGCAACACACCATCCTTATCATCAGAAAAACGGACAGCAGTCCTGGTGTTCTCTTGTTTATATTTCTCTAACAATGCCTGGAGCCGAAGGAGTTCTTTCTCATCAAGCCTTAGTAACACAGCCAAGTCCTTAAAAATAAGACAAAAAAGTTCTGAATTGACCACCTCTCTTTCTATGAATCTGCCATATGTGTCAACCCCACAGTCTGAATGAAATGCAGGACTATCAGCCAAAGATGACTTTTTAATTACTGTGGTAGCTATAATGTACTCTGCTTAAAACTTTACTCTCAAATGCATGAGTAGGAGGTTATTTAAATAAACAAATCTTGAAACACTATATATTACTAAAAGTATTTTTAGGAAGTTTCTTGAGATTATACTCTTCTAAATGTTTGAATTTTAAACATATATTATTGTGTAATCAGGAAAAAATTTAAAAGGGTGTCAATTGCAACTCTCGTGATTCTGAGGAAACTAAAGAAACTATTCAACAAGAAACTGAATGCTTATTTATTAAGCAATGTAAACACTGTAAAACTTTTTTCCCTCCATGCTACATAATTAAAGCTGCATTCTTAAACGAGAACAGTTTTATTTATTTATTTAAGACTGTTGTTTTTAAAAACAAGAAGTACAATGCAAAATGCTACTGAACGCATACCAGCAATTCAATGCTATATTGAATTTATACATTAGCCTATGTGAACTACATTCACAGACAGCAAAAATGAATTAATTCAGATTTGAATTTTAGTTTTATATGTACAAAATTAGCCATTCTGCCTCGAAGCTCACTGCATGTTTTCCGAAGGATCTAAACAAGTCTATAGCAAAATATGGTTTTAATTCTCCAAGTGCTTTAAAAGTAAAAAAATAATATAAAAGAACAATCTACCAACTCATTTTTAAAATTTTGTAATTCTTCTTTTACCTTTGCACACTACATTGGGGCTATCAAGTGGAAAGGAATTCTAAAGGGGATTATTAACGACGTATATTTAATTTTCTTTGGCAGGGAGCAAAAGAGAGAGTTCGGACCTCATGAAAAAATTAGGCATTGAAGAGTCTATGAAATGTCTAGGCAATCTTTAGACATGACTTAATCAACTTGAACTTTCTCATTGCTTGAAATGATTTTACACTACTGCTGAAGTAAAGAGAAAACCAAAAGACCCTGAAAAAATGGCTTTGTCATAATGGCAATCACAGAATATTATTATAAACAGATTATTGAAATGCTTTATAAAATTCATCTATAATCCCAAAGACAAAAAATATGGTAGAATGTGTAAGCTGTTTCCATTACAGAGAGAAAATCTTCTCTCATTTTTCTGTTAGAAAATTTTTATTCATGTATGTGTATTTAAAATAAAAGGCTTCTACTTTAAACCTCAATTAACTTTCACACATACCACATAATTTTTTTCAAAAGCATTACTAGTGACTTGACAAATCACTAAAATCACTTTAACAATAATATTCCTTTAGATAAGAAGACATGAGGCCCTGAAGCCAGGCAACCCGGCCACGGTCACAGTGACCCTAGGGGAAGAGAGGACGGTATTTCTCTCCATTCCCTATGAAGGAAACGTCATTTCTCTGTCTGGAAAGTAAGAATTTTGTATACACTCCTCAGAAATGAACAATATTGCATTGTAATAAAGATTACAAGGTGCTGTCACTCTTTTATGTTTTAAAGAATAAAAACAGAACATTTACTATACAGTCACGTATTGCTTAATGACGGGGAGATGTCCTGAGAAACGCATCGTTAGGCGATTCCATGCTGTGTGAACATCATAGAGGGTACTTACACAAACCTAGACGATATAACCTACTACACGCCTAGGCTATATGGTGCTAATCCTATGAGATCACCATCATATATGCGGTCTGTTGTTGACCAAAATGTTATTATGCGGTGCATGACTGTAATAAGTTTAAACACTTTGATGTAAGATAGAATATTTTTTAAATGTATTTCATCATGTAGTACACAAGAGAGCAAGCTGTATGAGTTTGCTAACAACAACAACACAGAAAAACCGGTCTCTTCTGTTTGGCAAAATCATTTGTTTTTCTTTAAAAGAAATTAAAGTTTTGCTACTTTAGTCAACTGAATATATTTTAATTGTCAAATCTTGTCTAGAAGTTGTATTATAAGAACACTAAAAAATGAACTGAGAAAAACCAAATGTTTCTAGGGTAGTGAAAATGGATTAACAATAAAATGCAATATAATAAATAAATAATACAAATTTAGCAGTAAGGCACAGAGAGTCAGCAGGAGGTCTTGTAAAGAAAATACACCTTTACATTTTATAAAAATTCTTAATTTTATACTTCTTTACTACCAATTTAAAAAGTTAAAAATAAAGAGATTATTTTGTATAATAAAAAATGGGATTACTCACATTATCAGAGAATGGTGTGTCTGAATGAAAATCAAGGGAATTTAATTGACTGACAGATTCATAAAGATGAAGTAATTTCAGTTTATTGGCACAAAACTGCAGCAATCCTTCATCAACAGACTCAAGCTCTAAAAGGTAGAAAAAAATACATTAAAGAGATAGACTCATCAAAAGGCTTTTCCTTCATTAAATCTCTTAATATTATTACATAATTCTCTGATGTTCTATTTTATTAAATATTGGGATGCTTAAGCTATAACAGATTAATAAAACAAAGACAATTTTTCCATTATGGCAAAATGTCTAAATTTTTAAATAAGATGGTCTAACAGCAGAGGAAAAAAGAGAAAAAGAAAAAAGAACTATCTTAGTGTAATAGTCAAATTTAAAGAAATGACCTGGAAACAGCTTTGAAAATGTTCTTCCTCTCCCCATAACCCATATGCTGCCTATTATGCTCCCACACTGAGGACAGACAAATAGAAAGCTGCCTGGCTCTTCCTGTTCTCATGGTCGTCAAAGATATTATAATCCAACCAGAAACTGTGGACTGTGACAGATGCATCCTCGAGAAAGGATGGCAAAGAGACCAAAAGCAGAATTCCACTTAATATCCTCCATCAATCAGGTTTTTTTCAAGATGAATGCTGGAAAAATACTCGCTTTGTATATAATACATTCTTGTATGATAATTTAAATATTTATATATAATAGAAAACAAATACTTATTCTTTAAAAAGGCAGACACTGAAAACCCCGAAGAACTCTTTTTTTGTGTGTGATGAAGATCAGCCCTGAGCTACCATCCATGCCAATCCTCCTCTTTTTGCTGAGGAAGATCGGCTCTGAGCTAACATCTATTGCCGATCCTCCACCTTTTTCTTCCCTTTTTCTCCCCAAAGCCCCAGTAGATAGTTGTATGTCATAGTTGCACATCCTTCTAGTTGCTGTATGTGGGACGCCGCCTCAGCATGGCTGGAGAAGCAGTGCATCGGTGCACACCCGGGATCTGAACCCGGCCGCCAGTAGCGGAGCTCGCGCACTTAACCACTAAGCCATGGGGCTGGCCCCCCGAAGAACTCTTATTTAGGATAAAGTAATCTAGAATATGTCTAAGTTGTTATAGCCATAATAAAACTTAGCATACTAAATACTTGAAATTTTTAGGAATCTCATTTATGGGTAAAACTTGAAACCAGTAATGATTTTATAGAACGCCAACAATGGTATTTGGTTTACTCCAAACTCAGTGCCACACAATTTTTGATTTAATAAATTCTGACATTTTGTTAAAGCCCTGAGGGATGGAGGGGCTTTGTAAGTAGGTATACTATGCTTTTTAAAAGAGGTATTTCTAACAAGGTACATGCACTAAAGAAGTTCACTGTTTACCAAAAGTCAGCTTTACATACGTGTTGAAAAAAGAATCTCAAAATTAGCAAGCTTAAAGTCCCAAAAGGGCATATTATGATTTGTTTATTAAGCCACTTTGAATTGGCTTAAATACAAATATAATTAAATGCAAAGCTGGCTTTATATAATTAATATGACAAGCAAAAAGTCATGACTAGATGAAGTCAGTATACTGCAATTTAATTTATGTTAGGAATTCAGAGTAAATTGAATTTTGCTAGCTCAGCTGGAGAGAGTGTGGAGTTACAACCCCACGGTTACAGATATAATTCTTTTTCAGACAAATTCTGAACAGTAAAAAACAAGCATAAAACTCAGAAGTAATAATTTAATCATACTCTGTGACTAGAAGTCCTAACTCTGTTCATGAAGGAAACGGATGAGAAAATGTGGATTCCATAGGCTGAGAGAACATTAATCAAATCACAAATACAGTCAACCCTGCATATGCACAGGTTCCACATCCCAGGATTCAACCAGGTGCAGGTCAAAAGGCCTACGATGGCTGCCTCTGTACTGAACGTGTACAGACCTTTTTCTTGTCATTATTCCCTAAACAACACAGTATTACAACTATTTACATAGCATTTATTTATTTATTTTTTTTAAATTTTATTTATTTATTTTTACCCCCAAAGCCCCCATAGATAGTTGTACGTCATAGCTGCACATCCTTCTAGTTGCTGTATGTGGGACGCGGCCCCAGCATGGCCCGAGAAGCGGTGCGTCGGTGCGCGCCCGGGATCCGAGCCCGGGCCGCCAGCAGCGGAGCGCACGCACTCAACCGCCAAGCCACGGGGCCGGCCCTTACATAGCATTTACATTGCATTAGGTATTATAAGTAAAGTAGAGATGATTTAAAGTATACGGGAGGATGTGTGTAGGTTATATGCAAATGTATACACCATTCTATATAAGGGACTTGAGCATCTGAGGATTCTGATGGGGGGTGCTGGAACCAATCCCCTCATGGATAATGAGAGTTGACTGTATTTTTTATCATTATCTTGGTCAAAACGATATTACTTAAAGAATGTCCCATCTACAGAAATCTCTCTCCTCCCATAAAGTTAAATAAAAAACAATGACAGCAAGTGAAGCTGGTTGTTTTCTGCATACCACCAGCTAACTTTCCCCTCATGCCACTGGTTTTCGAATGTTCTATAACTACATCAGAATAATCACTTCTCATCAATCTATACTGCTATCTTTCCTCACAGTAGAGGGATTCAAAAGAGAAATATTTGTAGTAAGAAAGAGAATCAATATATTCAGAGAAAGCTCAGATGAAGACGTACCACATACACTGAAGAGGGAATAAAAAGTCCCCAACACTAAAGGTACGAAATAAGTTTTCTTATTTCTTACATATATTATTTCCACATTAAAGTAACATGATGGTATCATAGCAGTTAATAGCTTTCTATAAAGTGAGACCACAACCTCCAATCAGTACAAACCCTATTACCTTGATTTTGTAAAGTGTCCATTAAAGTCTGAGTGATGTTTCTAAGGCAGGAAAATGGTAAACATTCACTTGCCAAAATGCTTTCCAAAGCCTAGAAGAAAGATATTGAGCAATTCTAATAATTAGAAGGCAATGATTTTGTTTTTTAAATTTTATATTTATGCTTATATTATCACTGTCTCAAGTTTCAAAGGGAAGCTCCATTTTTAACATGTTTTAGTATACATACCTGAGAATTAAAGTTGCATCATACGTAATATGTAATCAATTTCATGTCACGGTAAATATGGTATAATGACAAAAAGTCCAGATCAAGAATGAAACAACTAGAAGGCAAGTGATGTTTAACACGCCAAGACAAAATAGAAATAGAGATAAAACTATTCACCAGTAAGAAGAGTTTGATAAGTCAAACTATATAGGCATAAATGCCAAGCAGAGGCTGTTACTGTCATGTCAATAATACAAGTGTTAAGTGAGCATAAGTGAGGCCATCTTGTTACTCTAAATGACCCCAGCCCCTCCTCTGTGTGACTACTTGCTGCTTGGCACATACTCTAAAAAAATTCACATGCTCTCCTGATTTATGGCCTCTGTTTACAAATGTACTCCCCTATAGCTTGATAAATTAAAACTTTGTTCTATGAGTTTCTCTCCAGGAACAGGTTGATCACAGGCAGGAAATACACCTACAAGGTATCCCTCACAGCTGACAGAAGGACAGAACAATGTAATGCCTGGAGCCCATCACGGCTGGAGACCAACATCCTGGACCCCCTCCTCACTGCCCATTTTCCCTATATAACTGCCTCAAGATTCTGTAATCCTCGAAGATGGTGTTTTTGAGACATTAGTCTGCCATCTTCCCAATTATGACCCCAATCGAATTAAAACTTCCTTTTTTTTTTTTTGGGAGGAAGATTGGCCCTGGGCTAACATCTGCCAATCCTCCTCTTTTTGCTGAGGAAGACTGGCCCTGGGCTAACATTCATGCCCATCTTCCTACACTTTATATGGGATGCAGCCACAGCATGGCTTGCCAAGCGGTGCGTTGGTGCACGCCCAGGATCCGAACCGGTGAACCCTGGGCCGCCGCAGCAGAGCGCACGCACTCAACCACCTGCGCCACCAGGCGGGCCCCAAAACTTCCTTTCTCGATCCCTAACTTGTTGTGATTAATTGGCTCAGATTGCGGTCAGCAGAGAGCGAGCCCACTGCTCAGTAACAAAAAGCTGACAACAACTTAATTACTGCATTTGAGCATGGCTGGCTGAATGTAGAGGCCATGCTAGATACATATACTCCCTACCTCACCCCACCTACCCTTCCTGCCCCTGGGAGATATTTAAGAGCCTTCATCACCAGTTCTAAAATATCTCTTTATGTCTAAAGAAGCAACCATCAGAATCACCAATGAGTTAGACACAGCAGCTAAAGTGCATACTTATCTTGTCATATCAGCACATTAAATTGGCTTTTTATTGATGAGATTAAATAGTTTAAAAAGTAGGCTGAGAATGTGGCATGAAACAAATATCAGATCATAACACAACAACCTCTGTGTGTCTGGGGGAGAAATGGATTTAGAGAGTGGCTCAAGAGGTTGGTCAGGCCTATGATGAGGCAACCATTTGGAGGATATAAAGAAAGAGACTGAACGAGGCAATTCCCCAGAAAACGTAATCTGCCTCTGTTCTGTCTACTATTACACAAACTAGCAGCTGGCTTACCTTCCTTCCTATTTTTCAGTCTTCCAAAGCCTAAATTGGTTACTTTTCTCCCTTTAGTGTCATAAAACAACACACGACTTTCACTATTAGCTTTCCAGCATTTTTTATAAAATTCATAGCTTCATATACAATTCAGCAGTATAGTAAAAAACAAAACAAAACAAAACAAAAACAGAAAACCAAGATAGTTCACACTATGCTAAGTTCCCCAATTGTGTTGTTCCATGATGTGAGATAAGAAGAAAGATGGTATCGGAATGAGAAGACTTGTTTGGGTTAGGACCCTCCCTTTCTACTATAGGTTCCCTAAACTGCCTCTCTAGGTGCCCATCTTGTCATCAGAGTGTCATCTTTCATAACTGAGACTTTTCCCTGAGGAAAATGAGAGCCAATTAGCACTGTCAGTGGAATGGAAAACTCGATTAAAAGTCACAGGGAATTGCCTGTTCTAAATGAAACCATAAAAAGTGTTTTTAAAAATTGAATGCAACAGTGAAATAAAAGAGGTGAAAATAAATCAGTGTTCACTGAATTCTCCCATGTATTGAACATTATTTGAGATGCTGCGGATTATGAAAATGCCATATTCAGTAAGGTCCCTACTTGAAGGAGCTTAAAAGAGGAAAAAGTTGAGGAGCTGTGACCAATATACATGAAATAAGCAGAAAACAAGTAGTCATTAGCTATCAGTTCTGATTAAAAGTAGAGCAGGAGTTCAGAGATATCCATGGGGACTGAAGTGTCATGTAGGAACTTATAGAGTTAGAACTTGAGCAGCATTATGAGAGGTCTGGACCAGAGAAGTGGGAATAAAAGAAATCATGAGTTACCATATTATAATCATGAGCCTGGCAAAGGGTAACAAGTCTGACAACACCATGAGATGTTGAGGCTGTGGGGCAATAGAGCATCTTATACAGTATAAGAGTGAATATAAATTAGTGCAAGTATTTTTTTTTTTTTTGGTGAGGAAGATCAGCCCTGAGCTAATGTCCATGCTAATCCTCCTCTTTTTGCTGAGGAAGACCGGCTCTGAGCTAACATCTATTGCCAATCCTCCTCCTTTTTTTTCCCCCAAAGCCCCAGTAGATAGTTGTATGTCATAGCTGCACATCCTTCTAGTTGCTGTCTGTGGGACGCGGCCTCAGCATGGCCGGAGAAGCGGTGTGTCAGTGTGCACCCGGGATCTGAACCCGGGCCGCCAGCAGTGGAGCGCACGCACTTAACCGCTAAGCCACGGGGCCAGCCCCTAGTGTAAGTATTTTGAGAAGCAATGTATCATCAACTAGTACAGCCAAAGCAGCTCAGACCCTACAATTCCACTCTTCGGTATAAACTCAAGAGAAACTCCTGCATATGTGCACCAGGACCCATGTACAAGGATAATCATAGTATCACTGTTCGTAAGAGCAAAAACACCGGCAACAACCTAAATGTCCGCTGACAGGAGAGTGAATGAATAAATAATCACAGAATGGGATTCACACGGCACAGTTCAGGAGTCAACCATAGCTCCATGCATCAACGTGGAGGACTCAAAGAAACAATGCTGAAGGAAGAGAGTCAGTTACACAAGACGTGGAGCAGGACTCCATTTAAAAAAAGCTTTTAAAGGCAGAAAATGCATCAATGTATTTTAAAGGAGCCATATAGAAATGATATAACCATAAAGAAAAGCAAAACAGAGAGAAACACAAAATGCTGAACATCGGTTACCTTAGGGATGGGAGAAAGGGACGGGATTGAGGAAGGACACACAGGGCTCCTTAGAGTTCCCATAACACTCTATTTCCTAAGGTGGGTGGTCATACATATGTGTGTGATTTATTATTATTTAATCTGAATATATGTTATGTATGGATTTGTGTGTGTGTGTGTATAAGACATATGCACTTGTGTATGGGAGGGAGGGAGGGAAGAAGGAAGGAAGGAAGAGAGAAAAGAGAAAACAGGAACTTCCACATGGGAATATAAAAAAGGATGAACACGAATAAAAATATGAAAAGAAGACTTTAGCTGTCGTGTCTAGAGGGAAACAGGAAGATAAAGATTTTCTTAAGAGGGATATGTAAAAGCTACTCAGCAGGAAAGTTCATATATTATATATGCTTACTTGTTTTTTGGTTGCAGGGTACTTAATATCGAGAATTAATTCCTTTATTTCTGTTTCAACCAAATCTAGAAAGAGAAAATTAACCAAAGTAAAATTTTCACTTTTATTACAGGTAAACTTTATTCTGAAAGAAAAATGCACGTTTGTACTATCAGTCGGTCTAAAGGATTTCTGGGTTCTCGCAGAAATTATTGTTTTATTGTTACAAATTTTAATTTTCCATCTCTAGATGGCACACTTCATCCTTACAGAGCAACTCCGTTAAAAATTACACGTGATGACTGGTACCTCACCTCATTCCAAAAAGGAGTTGCAATAGCTCATAAATGCTTTGAAGAGTTTTGATTACTCCATTTAGAATATTCTATTAATTTAAAAAATGACATAACAGTGTGTTTTATTCTTATTATTAAAGGATACCTACCAAGACTGGGAGATTTTGTTTTCAGTAAGGCTCCTAGTTTCTTAACTAAGTGCATGTCCTTGGCTCGTTCACTCTTCTTATCACTAAAACAACAAATACAACAAATTCTTACAGAATGTGAAATTGTTTTCCTTCTAATTCTCACATGCTCCAACTTTCTTTTTCCTTTATATTCTTCCTATTTAACTTTAAAGGTATCAGTCTAATGAGAAAAGAAAACAAAACAATAACTGCAAAACAAATAGCAAAACAAGGGACGAGGAAAAGTCAGCAGAGGGACATGAATAAGCAGACACTCGGTACATCTTACCTCAGTGCTAAATGGAAAGGGACATTGACTGTTTTCACAGTTCCCGACACTGGATCAACAAGACAGATCTGGTAAGTCTGTGGCTGCCAACTCTGACTGGTAACATTATTTAAGCCCATTATTTTATAGCCAGGATACAGAAGCCTGAGGAAATCACACACCAAAATGGTAAAAAATACTAGAGAAAGGAGAAATCTCAAAAGATGCTTTTATTATAGCTAGGGACCCCTACATTATTATCAATTCAGGAGCATTAATATGGCAAATAAATACTAATTGATACTAAAAACAGAGAATTGTTTCAGTAAACTGCCAGTAAAGTAGAACTCGACTGGCTGAGACCTACCTTATTAAAATGTGCTAGAAAATTAAATGAACACAATCAGCCCCGTGCTGCAATGGCAAACAAGGCATCCGTCTCTCTTAACATCATCACTAGGGGACTCAAAAGGAATCTTTCTCTTGGAGCCTCCACAGCGTAAGGAAGGGATGAGGACAAATGGGAGCACCAAAGCTGACTTTAATTCAGTAGCATATTATAGCCTTTTCAATAAGATTCCTTCATTATTAAACATTTAATCCTTAATTACATACCAGGTGCTCGCAGGAAAAACCACAATAAAGAAGATTTCAATTCTCAAACAATCAGCAGTCTAATAAGTGGCTTTAAAAAAACTTTGCTTTAATCACAGCATTCCTTTTCGTAACCAGGAGAACGTCAGGGGCTGCAGCTCACCTGCAGTGCTTTCCCACGTTGAAGGCGCCTACCCTAGGCCCCTGCTGTGTGCTCCACACTTCTAAGATTCCCCTTCTTGGCGCATAGATCACGAGGAACTGAGCCACTCGACTCGGACCCTGAGTGTTTCCAAAGGGGGAGAAATCCATCTTTTCTGGTAGTCTTTCGTGGAGGTCCTCTACAATCTGGATCCAGCCAATCTGTGCATCCCGATACCCTTGGAGACAGAGGAAAAGGGAAGTTATTTTGTTTATTAATCTAAGTTCAATCGCAGCCTTCTGAAGCACTCTGGGATATTTTTTTTGGTGGGGAGGGGGTAGTTAAGAAAGTCTATAAAACTATGTTATCTTTTTATTATGAAATATCTTAAGCAGAAAATAGTAATAATATAATAAATATTGAATCAATCACCAAGTCTTATTAAATCTTAATATTTTGCCATTTTTGCTTCCAGTCACTTTTTTTCTTTAAAAAGAAAATAGGCATCATTGAAGCCTCATGAGTACTCTTCCCTGATCCCATTCCCTTCCCTCCCTCTCTTTAAAAAATTCTCTCCATTTAAAAAATTCTGGGGAGGTTATCAGGTTTGGATTTAACATAAAAGTCCAATTGAAATATAAGAAAAAGATCAGACTGATTTCCTGCTATTCCAGCGCCTTGGTGGTATGCAGACAGAGGGAAAACATGGGCTGCAGAGCCATGAGAGGAAGCTCCTGCACATGAGAAGAAAGACACAGCTGACACTGCCTTCCATTTTACGGTGGTCCCTCTTACAGGCAACTGATCCCTCTCTTCTCGGTGTGGGGAGGAAAATCGACTGCACCAGCTACAGAAGGACAAGCAACAATGCCCGCAATAAGGTCGCCATGCTGGATTTGGACCAGTTGGCATACCTATGTCTTCTATACTCCGGAAGTCTTGCTGAGAACACACCTTGACGTTATTTCAGAAGACAAACACCAAGGAGAAATGATGTGTCTGCAGCATTGAAACCTATTTCTACAGACACTTAAACATGTGGCAGGTAAATACTGCAGGAGTTCTTTGGCAAGAACGTGAGAGTAGACTCAGTCTGGTCTGAGTAATTTAATGTCCTCAAATCCATGATTCCTCACATTGTTAAGTATAGACCAGATTGCACCAGAATTGTGGTTTCCAACCAGTAGTCTGGGCTGACATGGTACTATTCTAGATGATTCCAAACAATGTATTCTCAACTTCTTCCTTAGTCAAGGAGATTTTCTTTTGTTCAGGTTGACAATGTGCCTACATATTTTCAACTCTACCTTATAGTTAGGTCATGTGACTAAGTCCTGGCTAATATATTATAGGAAAAGGTTGGAGAGACTTCAGGAAATATCTCCAAAATGGACTGACTTAGTTGACAGTTCTTCTTTTCCCCTTCCTCCTTCCTATCTCCGATCCAGCAGATAAGAACGTTGGAGCTCCAGCAGCCATTTGCACCATGAGATAATCTTGAGTGGGGAAGCTACATGGATTAAGAGTAGTTTCCTGAGGATATCATATCAACCAACATAGTTGCCAAGAACCTAAATGAACTGACCCAAGCATATGGATATGGAAGTCAAGTCAGCAAAGATGGATTTTGCTAGGTTTTGCTATCTTAAATCTGAAAGACTTGGGATTCTAGATTTGGAAAGAACATTTAACTCAAGCATGGCCTTGAAAAGTGGAATGAATGTAGCAGGAGCAAGAAACCGAATTTCAGAATTGACAATGACAATGACAGTGAGAATGGAAAAGAAGTACATGAGAAAGAGGTTAAAAGTGCCTATAAGATATATCCTTAAGTCACACTTAAAGGATATATCAATTGGACTACTGGACCAAGTGTTGCCAGTATGAGTTCATGTTAAAAAAGAAAGCATAAACATAAAGGAGTAAATAAACACAAAGGAGTAAATAAACACTGTTATCAACCAGAAGGTAAAGGATGATCATGTTGCTCAACTACTGGGATAAAAAGCAAATTCACTATTTTTTCTGGATTTTTGTAAGGAAATACCTTTCCACATGCGTATTGCAATTCCTCTGGCTACATCCAATAAAATAACTCTGCCAAAATCATCTGTTACTGCTGCCAATGTGTTACATGGAGACAGACATATACTTTCGCCATGGCGTCTAGAATCTGGAAGTCCAAATCTGATATTTAAAAGAAAATAAAAAGCTCAAATCACATTCCAATCTAGAAATATATAACAGAATAATAAAATGCACAAACAAAGTAGGCCGAATCTTTTTTATATGAACTTGTGTGGACTAATCGTCAATTTATTAACTAATCACAGCTGACATTTGTGCTATAAAATACATCAAGAAGTTTCTGCTATTACAAAATGAAAACACCTATGTTTTATTTCATAGATTTTCTATACAGATATCCACAACCTTATATTTTTAGAGACCATCAAGTATAACTCTCTCTTTCCTTGATTGAATGGTAGTATGTCATAGGAAACATCTTCACAACCAACTAAATTTTAGAATGTTTTGCTCCTACACAGGCAACTTTTGTCTCTTTTAAGTTCTTTTTTTTTTTTTTTTCTTATAATTTTTTTTATTTATTTTTTTCCCCCAAAGCCCCAGTAGATAGTTGTAGGTCACAGCTGCACAACCTTCTAGTTGCTGTATGTGGGACGTGGCCTCAGCATGGCGGGAGAAGCCGTGTGTCTATGCGCGCCTGGGATCCGAACCCCGGCCGCCAGCATCGGAGTGCGCACACTTAACCGCTAAGCCACGGGGCCAGCCCTATACAGATATCCACAACCTTATATTTTTAGAGACCATCAAGTATAACTCTCTCTTTCCTTGATTGAATGGTAGTATGTCATAGGAAACATCTTCACAACCAACTAAATTTTAGAATGTTTTGCTCCTACACAGGCATCTTTTGTCTCTTTTAAGTTCTTATTCCTAATCTGTTCTCTTTTTTGCTAGATATCATATCTTGCTGACACCAATGTATTTGCCTGAAGCAAGAACTTCCCTTCTTCTAAATAGTTATCTCGAAACTGCGCTTAGTCTATAACCAACCTTATTAGAACTGTGAGTAAAATAAAAGTAAAGAGGTGCTGAGAAATGACCCGGAGCACTCACTTTGAGAAAAGTCCCTGAGACCAAGTGCTGAAACTTTCTTACATCTGTTTGAATGCACAGGCCATCTGGCTTGTTTCCGGATTCTTGGGTGAATTCAGAAAACGTGATGTGTTACAATATTTTAAAATATGACAAAAAAACCTTAGAAGGTAATCTTCAAGAAATTTTAATAACAGATAATTAGTTATATCTCTTTAGTTGAAGAACATCTAAAAAAAAGGGAGGTTTTTATTTTCCTTCATGATGGTACTTTACATTAGGTAATAAAAAATGATTTAAAAACAAAATCAAGTAAAAATCACACCTTCCCCCCTAAAACCTGACACATACACTAAATATCTACAGCACTGCTGATGTAAGCAAGAAAGCCCGAGCCAACATTCAGAAGAGCGCTTGAATGCCCGTGACTCCTGTTTTTTTTTTTTGTGAGGAAGATCAGCCCTGAGCTAACATCCATGCGAACCCTCCTTTTTTTGCTGAGGAAGACTGGCCCTGGGCTAACATCTGTACCCATCTTCCTCCACTTTATATGGGACACCGCCACAGCATAGCCTGACAAGCGGTGCATCAGTTTGCGCCCAGGATCCGAACCCAGGCCGCCAGCAGTGGTGGGCGTGCACTTAACCGCTATGCCACGAGGCCGGCCCCATGTGACTCCTGTTTTTATTTTCATTTCTCTTGCTGAGCAAAATTGGCCCTGAGCTAACATGTGTGCCAATCTTCCTCTACTTTGTATGTGGGACGCTGCCATAGCATGGCCACCGATGAGTAGTGTAGGTTCGCACCCAGGAACCGAACCTGGGCTGCCACAGCAGAACACGCCAAACTTAACTACTAGGACACGGGGTCAGCCTGTGTTTTTATTTTTTTTAAAGAAATCACTAGATACTTTTGAAGTTTATACAGCTTAGTGACAAACTATCTAAACTTTTTAAAGAAAGAAATTCAACAGCTCTCACAAAACTAATTTTCCTGCAACTTAAGCTAAGTTTATATGGGTTCATAAAAAAAGTATACTCAACAGACAGCTGTTGAGACCTATTATATGACAGGGAAACAGCTGCAAACAAAATAGGCAGGAACCACTGTGCTCATGGAGTTTACTTTCTGGTGGAAAAAATATCCCACACGAATGAGCTCCAAAGACTCACGAGATCAACAAATCCACTGAAAGTATACTGAAAGACCATAAAGTGAACAGTACATTTCTAAAAATATGAAACTTTGAGAAGCGCACGACAGACTTGCCTTACAGCTAACGGGGTGGCTGGTTCCACCTTCGGCTTTTGCTTTTGGACAGTTTCTTCTTCATGCTTACTTTTCCAACCAAGCCAACCACTGAAAAGAAAGAAAGTTTAGAATAAAACCAGGGCTTCCAGTGTTTCACAGTACAGACTATAAAAATATAAGGTAAAAACCAAGCTAGATACAAATTAGATAATTTTCAGTGTAATTGTGACATGATTACCTGGCAGCATTAAATAAAGCCGAAGTGAGTTTACTTGCAACGGCTAGTGCAACATGAGATAACAATGGCTGTGTGCTTCCCTGAAAAAAACAGGACATTTGAAAGAGAACACTTAACAGCTGTGAAGAAACAAAATATACTTTCTAAACAAGGCTTACTTTAAAAAGTTTTGAAAAGTTGTAAACCTTGGACTAGCAAGAGTATTCAGCATCTTTTAGAGGGTATCGTGAAAGCTTTATTATAGGAGGTAGCCATATAATCAAAAGTTTTAACTCTATGGTTTAAAAGTAAAATCAGTAGTAATCTATTTCATCTTTAGGATTTCCCTCTTTAAATCGTAATTTAATTAAAAAAATTTAAACTAGGACACTAAGATGGCATTATTCTAGCAGAGCTATGGATTTCCATCTATATACAACTGGCTTTTTTCCCTCTTTTTTTAAATACATACTTCTATCCAAGTAAAAAGATAGTTTGGACAATTCTGAGAAGGCTGCTTTTTAAACAAGAAATAAGAGCCAAATCTATCACCTAACTTTCCCATATTTTAGGAAGCAATTTTACCAACTAAGCTGGCAGGTTGTTCTGTCTTTACAATTCTTCATTTACTCTAATTCCTGGTGGGCTGACATCATTAACGACCCTGTGTTTCTCGCTATAGCACCAATATTTAAATAAAACTCAACTGCCCAAGAACTCTAGGCGTCAGAAGCAAAGAAGGTTGTTTATTTAATATTGACTTTAGCACGTTTTTTAGTTAATCTAAAGAATTTAGAAGAAATCGAGTTGAGACTAATTTTAGCTTAAACTGAAACTTAGAAATGTAAACTGCTTAACCTTTCTAAGGCTAAGTTACCATATCCAATTTGCAAACAAGTTGAAAAATCAAGAATGGCCTTACTTATAATCAGTGATGAAACGCTTACCTCCAAAGCATAGAAGAAGCCAGTAAATGGACTGGACCCTACAGTGATATACTGAGACATGGCGGGTGGACTGTTTTTAATTGCTGCATTAAATCCACCTATATTGGAGGCAGTCTTCATTTGATCAAAAGGGCACAGAGTCATAATACCTAATGATAATACAACAACACATGATTTGAATGCACTGAAATGACACTGTAATTTTAGGTCATTAAATTTTTACTTCAACTCCATTCTAAGATGCTAACTGCCTAGTTTTTTGTTTGTTTGTTTTTGCTTGAGAAAGATTCAAGCTGAGCTAACATCTGTTGCCAATCTTTCTCCTTTTTTTTTTTTTTGCTTGAGGAAGATTAGCCCTGAGCTGACATCTGTGCCAACCTTCCTCTATTTTGTGTATGGGTCGCTGCCACAGCATGGCTGACAAGTGGTGTAGGTCCGTGCCTGGGATCCAAACCTGAGAACCCAGGCTGCCGAAGCGGAGTGCGCTGAACTTAACCACTAGGCCACCAGGCTGGGCCCTACTTAGTTTTATTTAACAGACAAAAGTCATTTTTAAAAGCTACAAAATAAATGTCATAAAATATTCACAGGATCTTAAAACTGCCATCTACAATTCCTCTAAGCTATAAAATACGACAAAAACAAAATTTAAATATTAATTTTTAAAACAGATACAAAATTCAATGGTACAAGAAGTATACAGCCCGTTTATACCTTCAGGTATCAGTTCACTTAGAGGCAACAACTGATACAGTTCCTCATGCTGCTTTCCAGAGATGTACATACATAAATGATAGCACATCAAATAAACTATGCCTTGGTTTTTTTTCTTTAATAAAACATCAAGGAGACATGTCTCATTCTTCTCAGTCACTCAGAGTATCCCACTGTGTGGTCATACCATAACTGACTTGACCTACTGATGGACATTTAGGTTGTCTCCCATCTTTTGCCACTACAAATAATGCTGCAATATATATCCTTGATATGTCTTTGCACACCCATATAAGTCTATGTGTATGGTAAATTCTTATAAACAGAAGTGCAGGCTCAAAGCAGATCTATATTTTAAAAAAATTTATTAAGTACCGTTCCACTGCATTCCACAGAGGTATCGCTAATTTACAATCCCACCAAGAAGGTGAGAGAGCATCTGTGCGAGATGCTTCCCCACACAGCGAGAACAAATATCTACTTCGTAGTCCAGAAAACCCCAACCTTTTATAATGAGTTACTTTTCATTTTCCCAGGGCTCTAAGAGCACAAGCAGACAGACTGAATGCTGACATCCACATGTGTGTGTGGAACAGTAGAGAAAAAACCAGTGTCATTTAAATTCACCTGGGTGGCAGAGAGAGAAAGAGGGGGAAGATCTAGGAAGTAAAGATCTGCTTCTAGACTTCAACATCTGTGGACTCAGGCAGTGTCTTCATATGGGTACTCATATGGTCAATGAAGACACTCGGTTGAGAGGTTCTGAACTCAAGTATACTGTAGAATGGAACATGAGTTATCCTAATTTTCATTTATAGGTATTGCCTAAAAATGGTCAAAAAATGTGTTGCTCCTGTAGAAGAGTCCTGGGAAAGGAAATACTTTTAGGAGTTCATAAGCAAACCATTTACTGGATTTAGGGATTAAAGCGATCAAATAACCATTGTAAAAGTTGGACTATTCTGAAAGATCAGAATGTCTGTCTCATATTCATGAATGAATTCATGATTCAATACAGAAAATGTTTTTGCTATATGATAAAATTAGCCTAAATTTTGCCTGATTCTACCAGAACAAAATCAAAGGGTGAATTGTGTGGCATATAAATTGAAATTTAAGTTTTAACATAACTTCTCTTCATACTCCTACACACTATTGGTGTGAGTATATATTGCTACAAGCTATCTAGAGGACAATTTTGCAATATGTACCCAAAATTTTAAGTGAATTTATTCTAATTTCTTCTAAAGAGATGGTTGATCAGTTCTTTCCATCCTTACCACTAGTTATACTTTTTTCCATAATTTGTCATCTGCTTTCAATGCCATACCTTAGCTTCTGTCATCAACAATTGTATATTCTGTGAAACCTTGATTCCAATCATACTACTCTTCGACTACCAACTCTTAGCTTTCCACCTAGGAACTCCCTGTAATAATTCCACAATTTCATTAAGAGTTTCAATTCATTAATCCTAGTGTTTTTTCACTATTTATGAAGCAATTCTTATGATCACTTCCCTTCTTCTTCTTAGATTCATGTTCCACCATAATCACTATCTTGCGGAAACCCACAACTCTGTCCCTCTCTCCCTCCACACACTCATCTGGCTAAATCTCAATCTTCATTGACCTAAACTTTCTGCATTCTCTGCTGTTCGCAGCAAAACAGCTGATCATTGCCACAGAAACACAATACATCTGGGTTTCAAAGTGAGGACCACAACAAATGGGCATACAAAACCACCCAAAATCCTATTGTCCTCCTCGATCCCTCTCCATGTCCCCAATCCCTTGAAATCTATTTGTTGAAGACACCAGGTTGTCTGACACGAATTTCCCACAGTCTAGGTTTTGCTGACTGCATCCCTGTGGTATTCTTTAATATTCTGTCTTGTTCTCTGTATTGCAGAAAATTGGTGGACTCTAGAGGACTGTTGCCTTTTGAGTCACCAAGTTTAGCATTATTTTTCATTGACTTAAAGTAAATGAAGATATGGCTTATTTACAGCTTCTCCTCTTCTCCCTATATCCTTCCAATATACCCACATATTCACATTCACTGTTTTCATTATTAAGAACGCTGTAAATATTATTCACTATTCAGACAAGCTGCCTACTGTAATTACATTTCCTTAGATGTGAATTTTTTTCCTGGAGTTATTGTTACATGGTCATTTAGGGTTTTCCCTGAACATCTGAGGCCTTTCTATACTTTGAAACATCTTCAAGTTCCTCTTCATATAAATTTCCATAAAGCCAAACTCGTTGGATAATTTTATAGGTCTATTACAGTGGCTAAAGAACGCCTCTTTGACAAAATGGTATTTGTATGGAGACCTGAGTGAAGTGAGGGAGAGAGCCATGTGGCTAGCTGGGTAAAATTTTCCAGGCAGAAGGAGCAACAATTACAAATGCTCTAAAGTGGGAGGATGCTTGGTGTATCTGAGGAATAAGGAGACCAGCGTGGTGGAACACAGAGGGGCAGAGTGGTGCTATAGGAGATAAGGTAAAAGCAGCCCCATAAATCAGACAGCGTCAGGCCTTGTATGCCATTGTAAGGTCTTTGTGTTTTGTTAGGGATAAGATGGGAAACCACTATAAGGTTGTGAGCAAAAGAGGGACAAAAATATGATTTATATTTCAAAAGAATCACATTAGATAGTAACTGGTGAACAGATTTTAGAGAGGGGAAAAAGGAAGCAGAAAGACCAGTTAGAATTTTCTTCTTCAGTGGTTCAACCAAGAGATGATGGTGGCTTGCACTACCATGCTAACAATGGCAGAGATGAGAAGTGGTCAGATTCAGGACATATCGTGGAGGTAGAGGCAAAAGGTGGACTGGACGAGGAACACGAGTACAAGAGAAGAGTCAGGGATGACTCAAAATCTTTTGGTGTGAACAAAAGAAGAAGAAGAGAGATGATATGGAAGAGATGGAAGAAAAAACAAGCTTGATTGGAGGAAATCAAGAATTCTGTTTTGGATATGTTAAGTTTGGATACCCAGGTGGAAATATTCAGTAGGAGCTGGAAAACGAGTATGAAGTTTAAGGAAGAGGTTAGGACTAGAGAGAAAAATGGAGATGCTGTGATTTGATTTCTTGTTCTTGTGCTTCTGATTTTTGAAAGTAGTGGGTCGAAATATTTATTTTTAAACCTACCCCAATCCGGCTTTCATCTTCCCCATTCCACTTAAATTCCTCATATCAGAGTTAATGAAGAGCTTTATGTTGTCAAATCCAATGGACCTTCTCCCTTTCTTGAATTCTATGAAGCATTCCATAGTTAACCACTCCCTCCCAAATTTATACTGATAATCCAGACTTCCTCTCTGAACTTTCGACTCATATATCCAACTGTCTACTTTTTTTTTTTTTAGGATTTTTTTTTTTTTTAAAGATTTTTTATTTATTTATTTTTTCCCCCCAAAGCCCCAGTAGATAGTTGTGTGTCATAGCTGCACATCCTTCTAGTTGCTGTATGTGGGACGCGGCCTCAGCATGGCCGGAGAAGCAGCACGTCGGTGCGAGCCCGGGATCCGAACCCGGGTCGCCAGCAGTGGAGCGCGCTCGCTTAACCACCAAGCCACGGGGCCGGCCCAACTGTCTACTTGACACCTCCATCTGAATGTATAATTGTGTCACAAGTTAACCTGTAAAGAACATGACTCTCAATTTGTCCACCTCAAACCTCTTCCTTCTCCTTATTCTCATTTCAGTAAACAGTCTGATCATCCACTCATTTGCTCAAATTTAAAACCTAAGAAATCCTTGAATCTTTCCTTTTTCTCATTTCTCAAATCCATCCCTTAGCAACTGCAAAATATATCTCAAATCTATCTATCTCTCTCCAACTCCATGGCCTCCACCCTAGACAAAGCCGTCTCTCTCTCTTATCGAAACAAACTCCTTACTGGTCTCCTTGCTTTCACTTTTTATTTTACAAGTCTCTCTCTAAACGGCAGTCAGGGGGATATTTTTAAATCCCATACCTAGACGCCATCAATGACATCCTCTGCTTTCAGGATAAAATCTGAACTCCTTATCCCCATGTGACCTGACTCCAGTCCTCATCTCCAATCTGACATTGGCCCATTTTCCTCCTACTCTTTACAATCAAGTCACATCAACCTCCTTTCTGTTTCTTTAACACTCAGCTCTTCTGGGCATAAATAGGCCTGCGAGGCCTAATACTTGCTGTTCCCTCTGCCTAGAACATTCTTCTTCTACCTCTTCACATAGCTGGCTCCTTTCCTCACCAGTCTCCCTACAGTACCCTCTTCCTTTACTCTCCATCGTAACCCTCTGCTTATTTTCTGCATGACCCATACTAACATTCTGATATCACCATATTTATTCATTTAGCTTGTTTATTGGTTGTCTCCACATCACCAGAACATAAGGTTGATCAGGGCAGGGGTCCGTCCTGTCTGCCTTGCATTTGTTGCACCAATATTAGTGCCTGGGACGTAACAGGTATTCGTTCATTTGTTGAATGAATTCATCAGACCTTTACATAAAGATGTACATACAATAAAGCTCAATGCACCTTTTTTTTTCACTTTGTAGGCTAGGAGATAAATGAATAGAGTAATATTTTCTATCCAATCCTTTTTCCCAGCCTGTTTCAATGTTCCAAAGCCTAATTAACAGAACAGGGAAGCTACCCTGCACTGTACTCAACACTTTGGAGTTTTATGGCATTTTTATGTCAGCAAGAAAGTAAAGATAAACTGAATGTCTACCAGTAACGTGTTTATCACAGAGCTTTCCATATAGGAACTATGCAGCAATAAACCAAGATGGTCTGTGTGTCAGATATCGCCTGTTTGACCCTCCAGATTCATACTTCTTCCTCTTCTCCCTGTTGCTTGGGGACCAGTGTGTGCAGAGTATGCTGACTTCCACTGGGTTCAGACAATGGGAAGCCCCATCATGAGATCAGAGAGAGAAAGGAGAATGAAGTCAAGATATCTATTTCCCTGTGACCCTTGAACAAAAGTCATCCTGCTCTTAAGGTGTTGATTTTTCTCATTATCTCCAAGTTCTAGAACTGCTTCCAGCCCCCGTCCCTGTAGGTCTAGAAGTGGTTAACAGGTGGGCTGCTAAGAAGCCCTAAGATACTGTTCTATCCCTTTGGTTATCCTATATCATATCTTTATGAACAGTTTCTCTGGAAACAAAATCTCTTTCAATTATCCTATTTCAAGGATGCCATCTGTCTTCTATTAGGACCCTGATAAAAAGTATATTTAGCAAAATTGATGTGAAGGGCTCTTCACAATATGTTGATTTAATATAGTTGGTATGATTTAATCCCATTTAAGAAAACACATCTCTCTACATAACCATACACATATTACGCATGCACTTACACATCTGTAAAGATGTTTATCAAAATGCCAATGGTGGGTATTTCTGGATGGTAGGATTTAAAGGGATATTTTTTCTTTTTCTCTTTATATATTTATGTGCTATTTGAATTTTCAAACAAGCATGTACTATATTGATAAACAGAAAAAATACATACATATTTTAAAATAGTATGTCCTTCTTCTCCATTCCCATTTCTACTACCTTAATTCTACTACTTTAATTCAGAAGCCCATTACTTCTCATCAAGATTGTTACAGCTTCCCTACTGCACCTAGTTTCTAGTCTTGACCCCCAAGGTGCAGCCTCAAAAGTTCCACTAAAGGGCCGGCCCCGTGGCTTGGTGGTTAAGTGAGCGCGCTCCACTGCTGGCGACCCGAGTTCGGATCCCGGGCTCCCACCGGCGCGCTGCTTCTCCGGCCATGCTGAGGCCGCATCCCACATACAGCAACTAGAAGGATGTGCAGCTATGACAGACAACTATCTACTGGGGCTTTGGGGGGAAAAAATAAATAAATAAAATCTTTAAAAAAAAAAAAAAAAAAAAAAAAAGTTCCACTAAAGTGATTTTTCTAATAGGCTACGTGATAATATTCTCTTGCTCAGAATTCTTCACTGGCTCTCAAAGTGGCTAGGAGAAAGACCTAAATTCCGATGCCTGGTATACTAGGCCCTTCAAAATCTGACTGCTATTTACATATTTGGCCACACTCTTGCCAGCTCTCCTTGGCACCCACTGTTCTTGCACACAATGCACTTCCACCCCCAAGCCTATGTACCCGGTGGCTAGAATGCCTCCTCGGTGCTTGTTCTCTTGGTCAAATCCTGCTCGTTCTTTCAATCTCAGCTTAAAGTCACCTTCCTCTTCCCTGACTTCCCTCAGTGCTAGGGGCTTCTCTGCTCCCCCTCCAGCTGGTCCATGTGTCTACTACCACCATCGTTTTGCTGTGGTACTGTAATTATTTTCACACGTTTCTTCCAACTAGACTCATGCTTCCTGACAGCAGAGACCATGTCTTTTCATCTCTGTATTCTCGACGCCTAACACAAGTAAGCCTTCAGATACTGGTTGCAAGAAGAAATCTGCTTTTATCTATATTCTGCTGGTCTAAAGACTATATTTTTAGAAGACTGATCTATATGGTAATTATATGGATTAAACTTGTCTGCAGAAAAATTAAGTCAAATGGTAAGTGACTTAAAACTGTACAGTAATGCTGCTGAGGGCATAATTATTAAAACTGCTATCATTTCCTAAAGACATAAACCTACGATAATCTGTAAATCTGAACTAACTTCCAAATGTCTCATTGAAGGCAATGCATTTTCTTTTCACATGAGAAAAAATGCACATTTCTAAAATAAGACACTTCAGTAAAAAAATAAGCAGCAAATTCCATAAGAATTTGAACTAGTAATGCTTACCAATGCTAGCATGATCAACAATAGTGTCAATATCTTGTAGACCCCATTTCTTATACGCTAATGGTGGTGGTTGTATGTTCTCATTGCCTGATGCTGCAGCTGTCAAAGACAAAAATCAGACAATCCAAACTTAACTACAACGCATAAAATGAAGCTTTACAAAAAAATCATTAAAAATGTAATAACGACTTATTACTCTAAAATTTCAACTAATAATAATGAGACAAGGTAATGTAAACAAGGCATACAGTGAGATTTATTCACGTCAAGACAATGCACATAAAATGCAAACATTACAAGAGTAAGTTGGCTGCCAGAAGAGATTTTGGAACATTCAAGTAATTAGAGAAGACTCTTAAAAGTTCTAGACTACTACTAAAAATCAAGGTGAATTCAAACCACAATTAAAGCCAAATAAGCAATTTCTCCTCCTTGAGAAAGACAGTAGATAAAATCCTGGGAACAGCAACTAGTGCCTTACTCGGTGAAAAACTGAAAACCTGATGACATATATGCGTGGCAGGGGCAACACACAGCAAGGTCTCCAAGGCAAAGAACTGATGCCAGGCTTGATAGAAAGACAGGTTAACAGCAACAGCATCGCCAGAAAGAATTAATGAAATGCTTATCGTTAACCTTAGTATTTTCACCTAGTGAGTGAGTAACGAAAGGAAAAGCAAGTGACACCTCTTGCCATAGGTTCATATAAATTCTCATGCTACGTATAAGAATACAGCTGATTCTGGTTGTTTATTCTGGAAAGTGAAGAAAGTACTTCAATAAAGGAAAAATATAATCGTCTAAGTACTTCATATTTGATAGTAAGGCCAAGAAAAGAGAATTTTCCTATATCCTGAAATAAATGTCACAACAATTTGTGGCTAGGTAATCAGGATTCTTTTAGAGCAATTTACAGTAGGAGGGCACTAAGTGGCTTCCTTCCTTCCTTCCTAGGAAACAAAATGGCTTTACGGTATTACACAAAACAAAATAAACAGGAATTCAAAAACAGTAAAAATGAAATGGCTGACAATACCAAGTATAACACAATTGTCTATTTCTAGTTTATTTTATTGACAGAATTCTTATCTACAGAAAACTGCCAGTCTCTTTGGCCATTTATATTAAATGGTGACTATTTTAAATATTCTCAAGAAAATGACACAGAGTGAGCTAAATTTAAATAACTTAAAATATTATGAAAATAGATATAAAAATTCAAACAAATTCTGACTTCATAGAAAATCCTGTACTATTAAAGAACCACACAACCAAGACTTCAGGGTTTTACCAATCACATCAACCTGCTAAAAAGACAGTGAAAATTTTTCTATTGCAATATAAGACGCTAAATTTTTTTCCCTAGAAGAAATTGTTTATTTTGCATCTTACAGTTTAGTTCTGGATTTATGAACAACTCGATGAATCTGCAAACACATCCTAATTAACCTATAATTTCAGGCAGTTGTTTAAATCATTTAAGAGTTATACTTTGTTTGTTTTAGGGCCATTAAGGCCCCTCTGCCCAAACCCAGAAAAGGAAATCAGCACTAGTACTGGTACTTTCATTGATTGTAATTAGGGCTTTTCTTCCCCATATCTTAACATCTCTAAAATTGGCATCTTAAAATTGATGGTGTGTCTTTCACTGGTAGCATTTTTGCTTTCTAGTGGTACATAAAATAACAGTGCATCTTACAATCAATGGCATCTTGAATTTGATGAAATACAATATCCTCTTCCAAAGATATAACAGCATCAGAATGTAAACTATAGGCAGTAAAAGAATTCTTGATTATTTGTGCACTTTCCACTCCCAAGTTTGGAAACAATGTAGTTGCCTATATACACATTAAATTTAGGCCTCTAACTTTTCTCCATTCAGAAGTGTTCCAAGTTAGCAAAAAGAAGGTGGTATTAACTCCCTGTTGGTTCCTGCCTACTGTGGGAAAAAACTCCCCCTGCACACAGCGGTATCTTTACCCTCAGTGAGGATGGAAGCAATGTAGAATCACAAGATTTTAGAATACTGGCCCACTAGCACTGATCTAGTGAGAAATTTCGTTCCTCAGCTAGACGCAACTAAATTCCTCACCCCAATGTTAATTCTCAATACAGGTGCAAGGCTCTCTCGTCACTGGCCAAGACATATTGCCGAATTAGTGAAACCTGTTGATCCCGTGCTGGTCACACTCTCCACGGGCAACATGTCAAGAGTGTTGATGATTCAGTCCTTGCCTTTATCTCACAAAGCAACCACCCAATAATGCACTCCCATTTCTACAGTAGCAGGTTTTTTCCCAAAAATCCAGTTCAAAAGGCCTCTTTAATTTAGAGGACATATTTAATTCTCTAAGTAGGTTAAATTAAATAAGATAAACATCATCAGAAGTTAGATACGTCTTGCCAAAAAATTACCTTTTGCTACCTGATTTCGACAAGCACGAAGAGATTGAAAAAGGCTGAATCCATCAATAGTCACAATGGCAGCTGGATACAAGATACTCAACTCTTCATTCTATTAAAGAAATAAGAAAGAAGAAAACAATACATTTTCGTCATTGCCAAATAAGCATATCTGTTTTTCTATTATACCTGAATGTCATGATTAATGAAAAATAAAAAATACTATGACTAAACAACCATCAACTACCCAACACACAAACCACGTCAGGTAAAGGAACAGTAAAAATCAATGGAAAATTAATTTTAGAAGGCCTTTTGGTCAAGGACTTAAAATTCTTCTCAAATATGAGCTTTTGTACATGGTGAATAATGCTTTCAGGACAGAGGGTGAGATTAACCAAAAAAAAGTACAAGTTTCATACAAATAAAATATAGTTATTGTGCAGATATGAACAATACATAAAAGAAGAAAGAAGAAAAAAGAAAACTCACCTGAAATCCCAGACGTGGCTCAATACATATCCTCATATGCTTTTATATGACATTATATCACACACAGTATTCTATGACATGTTTTTTATTACTCAATAATATGTCAATGATACTTTTCCATTCAATAAGCGAGCAAATCATTTTTTGTCGTGGCTACGCAGTATTGCATTATATGTACCAAAATTTAGTTCACCAGCTCTTATTGATGGACACTGAGTTTGGCCTCCTGCTCCCTCTTGCTCTCTACAATCAATGCTCCATACAGCTAGCACGAGCTTCGTGAGACACAGCAGATCAAACCAATCTCCTGATTAAAACTCTCCAATGGCTTCCTTCTGCATTTTGAATAAAACCTGAACTCTTTAACCATGCCTGCAAGATCTGGCACATACCTCTAATGTATCTCCCCTTGCTCCTTGAACAGGAAGGTCGTCATCACCTCAGTGCTTTGAATGTGTCTGGACCTCACCTCCCAGATCTTCACCTGCCTAATTCTCATTCAGGTCTCAGCTCAAATGTAGCTCCTAAGCCTCTATCTCAAACAGTATCTCCCTTCTCTTGCCACACTGCTATCTCATCAACATGATTACTTCCTTCCTAGCACCTATCAGAGACTGGAATCATCTTGGTATCTCCAGTTGTTTATTATTGGTTTCCCTCCACCGTCCTGAACTGTAAGCTCCATGAAAGCAGGAACCTTGTGTGTCTGGTTCACCAATAAATTCTCAGTGATTAGAAATGGGGTAGGCACATAACAGGCAGTAAGTAAATGTTTATCAGTGAATCAGTATATTTTCCTTATTATAAACATCACTGCGATGAACATTCTTCTGTATCTTTTCCCTCTACTTTTGCATAAATTCCCTCAAGTGGGTCTGTTGAGTCATAGAGTACTCACAATTTTTGTTTTCATTCATATTATTAAATTGCCCTCAAGAAAGTACCTATCAGTTTACACTTCCACCAACACATGTGAGTGCCTGTTTCGCCAATATTGTCACCAATAGTTTTGCTAATCTTCATTTTTGCCAACCTGAAAGGAGGAAAATTATCCAAATGTAATTGCTTATAGTTTTTAGATTATTAGTAAGGTTCAAAATTTTACCATATGATTTTTGACCAGTTACATTTCTTCTTTTGAGAACTGCTTGCCCCTTTTTCCACTGGACTAATGGGCTGTTTCTATTTTTAAAAGAGATTTGTGGGCCACAAGGGGTAGGGATCCAGGGGGAAGGGAACTGGCCTGGGTGCTCACATGACGGGTTCAGAAGGCTAAGCTTGCATGATCCCCTGAGCATGACAGTGGGGAGAGAGCCTCCTCACTGACTTGGAGGAGCTGATCACCAGCAAGTCAATTATCTCCAAAACCAGATGGTCTTCCTGAAGAAGATACTAATGCAAACACCAGTGGTCCAAAAGCTGCAGAAGTTGTGCTAGATGACAGAGATCTTGGTGCAGAAGTCACAGAAGAAGTTGCTTTGACATTCCAGAAAGAGATCTCTTCTCTTTGGAATTGTCTCCTGCAACGACCCACTGTCACCCCTACTACACTCACTGCCCCCAAAATTGACTTAGAGGAAATCTGCTCCCATCGTCTTTAATAGATCTGGGAGTACACCAAAGAAGCAGCAAATAGATATTTTTGATACATAAATCGAGGTATCAGATCCAGAGGTGCTTACGTAGAACATAGAGTAACAACAAAGACTTCTCTCTCCATGTTCAAGAAGAATTATTTGTCAGCTAAAAGATTTTCTTGACTCACATAGCAAATAGCAAGCAAGTATTTAAATGTTAATTATATTTTTCCACTAGCTCTACAAAACTAAGAGTATTACAGACATAACCAAGTTTAAAGTGTCTAAACAACCTTCACCATCCACAGAATTTGTAGAAAAATGGAAAACAGCTCTTGAGAAGTATCTTTGATGAACAGATTATCTTCTTAGATTTCCAACAGTTCCTTCTTTGTTTCCTGCAAGAGTTTCATTTTCTCCTGTTTTCTTATGATGAATATTACTAAGACTTAAGTCTTCAGTCTTCAGTTTTATCTTCCTATATCCTTTATTTGGAAGAATTCGTTCCTTATCTTGCCTTCAACCATCGCCTTCAATCTAGTCTTTGTGCCTAGATAGTAGTTCTGTATCACTACAGGCATACCGGTATTTTCGTTTTATTTCCTACCATCATCTCAAACTCAGCACGTCCAAACCAAATTTTATTTTTGATGTTTTAATAGTTTATAACATTGTGAAATTTTTGGTTGTACATTTTTGTTTGTCCATCACCATATACATGTCTCCCTTCATCCCTTGTGCCCACCCCCTACCCCCATTGGCCCTGGTAACCACAATACAGTTTTCTCTGTCCATGTGTTGGTTTATATTCCACATATGAGTGAGATCACATGGTGTTTGTCTTTCTCTTTCTGGCTTATTTAACTTAACATAATACTCTCCAGGTCCATCCATGTTGTTGCAAATGGGACAATTTTGTCTTTTTTTTATGGCTGAGTAGTATTCCATTGTATATATTCACCACATCTTCTTGATCCAATCATCAGTCAAGGGACACTTGGGTTGCTTCCACTTCTTGGCTATAGTGAATAATGCTGCAATGAACATATGGGTGCATAAGCCTCTTTGGATTGTTGATTTCAGGTTCATTGGAGAGATTCCCAGCAGTGGGATAGCTGGATCATAAGGTATTTCTATTTTTAATTCTTTGAGGAATCTCCATACCGTTTTCCATAGAGGCTGCACCAGTTTGCATTCCCACCAGCTATGTATGAGGGTTCCTGTTTCTCCACATCCTCTCCAACATTTGTTGTTTTTTGTCCTCGTGATTATAGCCATTCTAATGGGCGTGAGGTGGTATCTTAGTGTGATTTTGATTTGCATTTCCCTGCTGATTAGTGATGTTGAACATCTTTTCATGTGCCTATTGGTCATCTGTATATCTTCTTTGGAGAAGTGTCTGTTCATTTCCTCTGCCCATTTTTTGACTGGGTTGTTTGTTTTTTTGTTGTTCAGTTGTGTGAGTTCTTTATATATTATGGAGATTAACCCCTTGTCAGATATATGTTTTGCAAATATTTCCTCCCAGCTGGTAGGTTGTCTGTTCATTTTGATTCTGGTTTCATTTGTGTTGTAGAAGCTCTTTAATCTGATAAAGTCCCACTTGCTTATTTTTTCTTTAGTTTCCCTAGTCTCAGGAGGCATGGTATCCAAAAAGATTCCTTTATGACCAATGTCATATAGTGTGTTCCTATATTTTCTTCTATGAGTTTTATAGTTTTAGGTCTCACCTTCAGGTCTTTGATCCATTTTGAGTTAATTTTTGTGAATGGCGATAGCAGATGGTCCACTTTCATTCTTTTGCATGTGGCTGTCCAGTTTTCCCAACACCATTTATTGAAGAGACTTTCCTTTCTCCATTGTATGTTCTTAGCTCCTTTGTCGAAAATTAGCTGTCCGTATATGTGTGGTTTTATTTCTGGGCTTTCAATTCTGTTCCATTGATCTGTGTGTCTGTTTTTGTACCAAGACCACGCTGTTTTGATTACTATTGCTTTGTAGTATGTTTTGATGTCAGGGATGGTGATGCCTCCAGCTTTGTTCTTTTTTCTTAGGATTGCTTTAGCTATTCAGGGTCTTTTGTTGCCTCATATGAATTTTAGTATTCTTTTTTCTATTTCCATGAAGAATGTCATTGGGATTCTGATTGGGATTGCATTGAATCTGTAGATTGCTTTAGGTAATATAGACATTTTAAACACGTTTACTCTTCCAATCCACGTGCATGGGATGTCTTTCCATTTCTTTATGTCATCATCGATTTCTTTCAATAATGTCTTGTAGTTTTCATTGTATAGGTCTTTCACCTCCTTGGTAACATTTATTCCTAGATATTTTATTCTTTTTGATGCAATTGTAAATGGTATTATCTTTTTGAGCTCTCTTTCTGTTAGTTCGTTATTAGCATACAGAAATGCAACTGATTTTTGTAGATTGATTTTGTACCCTGCGACTTTGCTGTAGTTGTTGATTATTTCTAATAGTTTTCCAATGGATTCTTTAGGGTCTTCTATATATAAAATCATGTCGTCTGCAAATAGTGAGAGTTTCACTTCTTCGTTACCTATTTGGATTCCTTTTATTCCTTTTTCTTGCCTAATTGCTCTGGCCAAAACCTCCAGTACTATGTTGAATTGGAGCAGTGAGAGTGGGCAGCCTTGTCTCATTCCTGTTCTCAGAGGAATGGCTTTCAGCCTTTCCCCGTTGAGTACGATGTTGGCTGTGGGTTTGTCATAGATAGCCTTTATTATGTTGAGGTACTTTCCTTCTATACCCATTTTGTTAAGAGTTTTTATCATAAATGGATGTTGTATCTTGTCAAATGCCTTCTCTGCATCTATTGAGATGACCATGTGGCCAAAGCAAATTTAATAACCTTTATTTACTGCCAAAGTAGTCCCCTCTTCCAACTTTGTCAATGGCACTCCTCAGGACGGATATCTTAGAGCCAACTCATTTTTCTCTTTAATATTCTACATCTCTATACAATAACCAAGTCCTGTCAATTGCTCCTTTAAAATGATTTTTGTACTGGTCCTTTCTCTCTTCCTTCTGCCATTACAGTCCTCATTTCCAAAACTCCACATCTATTACAGATAACTGAAAAAAACAGATAACTAACCTCTCTAGTTCCAGGCTCTCAGAACTCCAGTTCATCTTGAAGAGTCCTTCCATATCCCTTTGATTACATCACTTTCTTCTCATAAATCTTTAGTAGCTTCATTTCCTGATTCAATGCTGATTTTTACTTGGCTTTCAAATTTATGAAAAATTTGGCCACTCTGCCTATCCAACAGTTTCTCATAATTTTCTAACATTGGTTTCTTTGTTGTCTCATACATAGTCCTACACTTGAATCTTCCTTCATTTTTTTCCTGATTACCTAAAACACTTTCCCCTCTTTTCCCACTAACTAATTAAATTCTATACCCATTATTCAAAGCTTAGTTCAAATCTTACCTCCTCGATGACATTTTCTTTTATTGTCCTAGTCTTAATTGAGCTCCTCTTTCTCCAAATTTGTAGAGAATTTATTCTGTCCATATAAATTAGCAATTAATTAGGTATTGCTTTAAGCTACTGATTAACTCATTCATAGGTATTAACAGGTATTAGTCTGGTCTCTCTTACTAGATTGTTAAGTTTCTTCTATAGCTCCAGTCCATGTATCATACAATTTGAGTTGACCTAGGCACACAATACACGCATCTGTTTACTTGAAATCTTTTGGAAGCAGAGTAGTACAAAGGAGGATGGCATATTATATAGTTTTGACTAGGTACATCATGAACTAAACAAAAGCATATTAGTTTATTTGGTTCTACAATTATATTTTGACTATGAGACAATCAAAATCTCACACAGCATTTAGGAAGAAATGAAAACTGTGGCAAGCCTTTGGAGAGCCTTAGATACTAAACAGTATTATTTTCTGCCAAGATCTTCAATAAATATAAAATATTTTCCACTACAAACAAAAACTTAATAACCCCTTTTTTGAGAAACAGGTAAGTACAACGTAGTAGTATTATTAATAAGGCCAGAATTTTTTTCTTTACTCTGTATAACTTTGACAGCTAAATCCAAATAAAAAAGATATAAAGTTATGTAATATCACATTTTTGCTTTAAGTCACTACTAAATACTAAAAATAAGAAAGCTTTTTTAGCTTCTGACTAAAGTGTTTTATTTTATTAGAGAACAAGACATACAGTATTTCATTAAGTAAAAGCAACACTGGTATTTATTACTCAGCTATAAATAGGTTATATTTCTAGAATATGACAGCACAGCTAACTGTGCCACAAGACAAAGATATCTTTAAGTTTCCCCCCAACAAAGAGGGAAGAAGCTACTTCAAAGTAAAGCCACGTTACTCTGACCACAATCTTTTACACTACCTGCTCAGTCACACCAGGATGTCGTGGGATTTCATAGGTCCTGCATTTAAGCTGCAGCACTGGGTCCTCATTCAAAAGTTGTGCAAGCAAGAGCACACCGCTCTAGGAGGAAGCACAGAGAAGAGTGCTGCTTGTTTTCTTACCTATATACCTGAATAGGTACAGCCAGGCAGAGAGCATCATTTCCCCGACAGTTTTCCATGGATACCAGGTGCTCTCTTTTCAGAAAAATACAGCTTCTCTTCTCTATAGCATCTACAAGAACTTTCCACCACCACCCCTCCCCCACCCCGGCTTCCACCCCCATTAAATATCAACTACACATTCCCAAGCAGCAGCTAATGAGCCAAAAATGAGTACAATGGGGATGCGTAAGTAGGTATTCTAGTCAGCTGGTGTTTGTTGTCTTGTTTTGTTTTTTTCTGAGGAAGATTTGCCCTGAACTAACATCTGTTGTCAATCTTCCTCTTTTTTTTTTTTCACTTGAGGAAGATTCACCCTGAGTTAATATCTGTGTCAATCTTCCTCTATTTTGTATGTGGGTTGCCATCACAGCACGGCTGCTGACGAATGGTGTAGGTCCACGCTCGGGAACTGAACCTGGGCTGCTGAAGTGGAGTGCGCCAAATGTAACCACTAAGCCATGGGGCTGGCCCCAGCTGGTGTTCTCTAATTGCTGAACACCCGGCTCACCTCTGTGTAGAAGCGCACGTAGCCTGAAGTAAAGCCCACCACAATGCAGGTCCAGTCAGGACGTCCAGTGGAACTCCTGTTACAAACAAAATTTATCATCTTAATAGCTCAAAAATCAAAGCAAAGAAAACAAATAACTCTCACTTATCCTTACCTCTTTTGGCTTGCTAGTGGGATACACAGAGCACTGGTTACACATTCCCTAAAAACAAAAACAAAATCATATGCTTATCTAATGGATTTATCAATTACTTCTATTTCTCTATAATTTAATGGTAAAGGTCAATACGCGGAAAATGAGCTCTGTGGGTCAGTTTTATTCAACGCAAAAGTAAAAATACAGTAAAACTCCACCGTAAGTAGGGTCAAAAATTCATTCACATAAATGGTAATGTCACATTCACTTAAGGTTAATAAAAACCAGTATTTTTCATTCTGTATTGTCATGAAAAGCAGGAAAGTAAAAGAAAGCAAAATTTGACTGTACACAACTGATTATATACAGAACTGAGAAAGTATCAAATGATCACCAGGCAGTCATTTCCTAATGTCCCCCTCTTCTCCGCATCAGCTAAAAACTTGGGGAGAGGGTGGGAGGAAGTGTCAACCACGTTACAGGCAAACTGCATTTCTGCAGAGTACACTATGCTAGGGACTTACCGTATTTCCACTAGTTGGCTTCTTCTTTTATATTTTGCAGAAATTGCCCCTGATAACCTATTTTAAGCACGTATTAGGTTGGATGTTCCCTAAAAGATTTTTTTTCTGACGTATAGATTTGAAAAATTTGTCAGGAGCTCAGAGACGAAGCCTCAAAATTAATTTAACTCCTACTTACTGACTTTTATTTAACCTGTCAAGCTTTAGGACCATCACCAGCTTATCCAAGAAACCACAAATACTCTTGCCCCATCCATCGTACTATGTAATCATTAAACAAAATTAATCGTTTTGTTTGCTTGTTGCTTTTAAAGTAATTGAACCATTATGTTTGCTTTGCATTTCTGGCACAAATTTAATGTCTTCAAAATGCTTAGATTAAATGATGTAAGGAGAAATATTATCATTTATTTTGATAAGAGTAGAAAACGTTTCATTGAATATCTGCAATGGGTCAGGTATGCACTATGGGCTTCCACTTGGTTGTCTTTTATTTGAATTTAAAGTCTGAAGAATCTTATTATTCTGATCAGATGGCTTTCAGTCATAAAAATTTAACTGAGAACAGTTTTTGGCTCCAGGTTCCAGGCTAGCAGCTCCATCATGTAACCACGCTAGAGATCTGGTTTTAAAACTCTTACTGGATCAGTAGGAAACCTGAACACACCAACTTGCATTTCTGAAGTATTTATGACTTTTAAGAAGGAATGTAGCACTGTCCCCTTCAAGTACAAGCCCGATGCTAGCAAAGCAGAGAAGACAATGACTGCCCTTGACTTTTTGGCTGAATACAATTAGTAATGGAGAACAGAGGAAAAGACAAAATGTAGAAAGGATGTTATGGGATTCTCTCTGAACTCTTCTTTACATCCTCTCCAAACAGGAGTTTTTTTAAAAAAGTAATCACATGATGAGTAAAATTAAAATTTGCTGACCGAATCATGCTCTAAAGTTGGGATGAATATACATTTACTAAACATTCCAAATAATGAAGCTTCTTAATAGAGTCACTTACAAGTCAAACAATTTCACATGTACATTTAACGCACAGAGAGACAAAAAATTAACTGGTACTTACCCTTCTTCAACATTTAAAAAACCACTCCAGCCAACAGCAAATTGCATTTCTTCCTTTCCTTTATCACTGTATTTCCATTTTGCTGGAAAAATTAAGTTATCATATAAAATAACTTTATAGCATACTAAAACAGTAATTTATAAATTTCACTCTTTCCCTTTAGAATGATGAGTACAGTGTTTAATTGTTCTGTATTGATTTGGGTCTTTTTAGAAGCAAATATCAGATAATGTGTAAAAATTTTTATAAGATTTTTATAAAACTCTAAGCCTAGTCTCCTAGGCTTCAGTGTCTCTTTCCTCCAATTAAATCCATATAACGTTGTCATGGTTCTTGCAGAATAAAGTTATTAATTCATATGTACCACCCACCTATTTTATTTACAAAACTGCTTCTATCTTCAGATGGCAAAGAAAATTTATCTATTAGATTTATGCTACTGAAGGGTAAATCTGCTTTGTAAGACCATCCCACAGCCATTTTATAAATGGTCTTATTTTCACCAGTGAGGTTTTTCATATCCTGTGTATGCTCAAACTGTAATTTTAATCAATAATAACTATGAGCTGAAAACTTATGCCCCAAATAGGAAACTACAGGACTGTTAGTTTTCAAATTATAGTTGAAAAGCACCTCACTCACATTATCACATACTAAGAACTTGGGGTCAGCAGCCTTTTTAGCTCTGACCGCCCCTTGTAAGAACTGGACAATGCCCAGTATTGCCTCTGCAGTGCCATAGAGAGACAGCTAAAGTATCTGCAGACAGGAAAGAAAAAGAGAGAGGAAACAAATAGAACAGAAAGGAAAAAGAAAAAAAAAGGAGAGAGAGAGAGTAATTAAAAAAATAGGAAAGGAAATAAAAAGTGTTACATAATATATAAATTATAGAATGCCACCATTTAATGCATACAACAGAAATAACATTTTTTCTTCCTACCTAATCCATTTTCTGTCCTATTTTATGCATTAAAATAAAGGCCACCAAAAAGAGAGTACTTACGCACTAGAAATACAGCTTTTTGCTCCCGAGCTATAACCATCAGATCATTAGTTGGAGATAAGGATAAAACACAATCTTGAAGCCAGGAGGTTTTCTGTGTCTTCCAAGTATTTCCTTCTTCTTCCTATGGATAAAACTACAATTGTTGTATATGCAAAAATATCGAGAGTATTTCAACTCAGCTGGTCCACCTTGAGGGGCAACGGAGAAGAAAAAAGGAAAAAGAAATCTTCCCAATTCTTTTATAAAGTCTCAATAATATCCCTTATCAAAACACATCAAAGACGACCAACAAACAAAATATCCACTACAAACAAACCTCAGTTTTGACTATTAATGCAAAAATTTTAAATATAAACTCGTAAGACATTAAAAGAATGTCACATAGAGATCACTCCGCAAATGACTCAGGAAGCTCAGTACATAATCCTATTCCAGAGAGACAGCTAAGGTATCTGCACCTAGATAGCAAAGAAAAAGTCATCCGAAGCTTATGGTTGTAGGATCTGTAAAAGCACTTGATAAACTTGACACTTGTTTCTTTTTTATTTGACTGGAAAGGTACTTTCATTTTTCAGTTGAAAATTTATTTATTACATAGGTAAAGCCCCACGATTAAAAATTCAACAGATCTAAAAAGGTCTTCTTTGAAAAGTCTCTCTGATACTTCTGTATTCTAGCCACCCAGGTGCTCAGTTTAGAGACAACCAATGTCATGAGTTCTTGTGTGTATTTCCAGAGAAACACTTTATGCACGTACAAGCAAATACATTTACTACCCTTTTCCCCCTCTTTCTTACACAAATGGTAGCATATTCTATACACACTTATATATTTTTTCTCTTAACATATATCTTAGACGTTAATTCCACGTGAAGTTTATTTTCAAATGGCTACATAGTATTCCATTGTATGGATGCACTCTAATTTATTTAACCAGCCCCTTATTGATGGACATATGTGTTTTTTAACTCTTTTGCTGTTATAAACTAAGCTACAATGAATAACTTTATACCTTCAGCAGTTTGTGTGGGAGTGTATCAGTAGGATAAATTCCTACAAGTGAAATTGCTGGGTCAAAGGGAATGTGTAGTAGTAAATTTGCTAGATATTCCCAAATTGTGCTCCACAGAAGTTGTGTTAATTTATAATCCAACCAGCAATTTTTGAAAGTCCTTGCTTCCTCACAGACTTTTCAAAAGATGCTTTAATTCTGGATCTTTGTCAACGTAACAGATGAAAAGTGGTATCTCAGTATACTGCATTCGTCTTATGAATGAGAACAGCATTTTCTCATATGTTTCCAAGTCTTCTCTATGAACAGTTATTTCCTTTCCTTTGCAGATTTCCCGTTGGGTCGCTGCTCTTTTTCTAATTGATTTGTATATACTCTTTACATATAAGGAAAACTTCTTTGAACATTAAGAATTACAAATAGTTTTTCCAGTCCATGTGGTAGCCTAATTTTTTCCATGCAGAAAATTTTTAATGGTATGTAGCTATTTAATGTTATGTAGTTTATTATCTGTTCTCTTACGGCTTCTCAGTTTTAGGTCACACAGACTCCTACCTTCCTCAACCCTACCTGGTGGCTTTTAGACTGAATTAATCAAGAGGAGAGGGGTAGAGGGGGGGAAGACATGCAGGCTGTTTTCATTTTTTTAAAAAATTTACACATTTATGCTTTTTTAAAAAACTTTTAATAAGCATGCGTTAGTACCATAATAAAATTTAAAAGATTTTAAAAACAGAAAATCATCCTACTCAGAAATATTATGGCCGCATTTCTAGGGAAGATAAATGATTTCTCCCTGGGATACTATCAAAGAAATGTTTAAAACACGAATAAAATACAGGGTTACAGGACATCTTTAGGAAAATCTCTAAGTAGGCCCGGAACCTCTAGGACAGTCATGCAATTATTTTTCCTTCTCAATGGAACATTAGGAATCAAATAGATTTGGAACGTTTTTCATACAAGGTAAGCTAAGGAGGCTGTACCCTCTCCTGAAAGATAGGGAGAAGAGTAATATTGAAAAAAATCCCTTGTTTTATTAAAGCTCCATTTTTAAGGAATTTTTCTATCTATCTTGCTGTTTTTAATGGGTATTTTTTTACAGATAAATTAGGGAGAAAATTCTCCCCTAAAGGTAAAAGTTATAAGATAAAAGTTAGTTGTAATTAATTTCTCCCTGAACTCACAATTTCTGCCATAGAACAGTCTCTGTTTAGCCAGCTCTCACTCAAGACTTCTCATAGTGGTTGGGCTGTCAGCTGAGGCAACACCACCCCACGATTCCCTCTCCAGTAACTGAGACCCCAATTACACCAACTCTGAGGCTGGGGACTTGTCAAGTGATTAGTCTCACCTTCAGGTAGGAGGCAGAAGCAGGGTAAGTTATACGGGGATATTATTCAGGTATTGTGTTTGATAAGAAATTAGGGGTGTCTAAAACTCTTTGACTGGTCTCTGACTCTTACCCTAAGATTTCCATCTCGTTGCAATAAAAAAGAATCAAAACAATGCTCCACAAAAGGGAATACAGCCCTAATTTTGTCAAGTTCTAAAAAATAAATAACTTAAAAAAATAATTAAATATCAATACAAATGAGTTTCTTCCTTTTATCACATTGCCAAAATTATGTTCAAACAGTAAATCCTGAAAATGTTCTAAAAGCAACCTTTCAATAAAGAACATTACTTCTAGGTTTCTGTCCTATGTTTTCAAAATAATGCCACTAACAAGGATTAGATCTGTGCGTTTATGTTTGCTGAAAAGATAAAGAGGGAAAGAAATTCAAAGATGGAAGGCATTTAAAGACCAACTGGTCCAAAACTTCACTTTATAATAAAGAAAACAGAGTCTCAAGAAGGTTAAGGGACATGCTCCTCCCTCCACAGAATCACTGTGAGAAACCAAACTAGAACCTAGGCCTCCTGACTTTTAATTCAGGGGATCTTTCCATTCTATCCCCCTGCTCGTCTTGGCAGGTAGCTGGAATAGCTCTTGGAGAAGCCTGCCTTCACTTGGGATTTGACTCTAGTCTCATAGTCAGTGAAAGGGCTTTTCTCAAAAAGAACTACCTTATTACATATCACTTTATACCAGGCTAATCTTTCTGTAGTTCTTTGAACTGGTTTAGAGCTGTAAGAAATGACCTAAACATGTGAGCCAACTCTTGAGGCATTTCTTTAAGCACTCTTGTAACAATACTTTTCCTCTGCTTATCTGTCTTTCCATCTTAAGTTCCAGTTCCTATGGCAACTCCATCCCACCCTGACTTTTACCTTCTATCAAACTTACTGCAATTAAAAGTCTTACTATTCTGTTACCTATTTATTCTGTGACTACATTCCTCCCACCTTAGACTGGAAGCCTTCTAACTGGCAAAGCCTATGCTTTATATTCTCCTCAACTCCACACGCAGCACAGCCCGCTAACAGCATATATGAGTGAAAAACAGCATTCCCATTTCTCCTTACTTGTATTCACAAGATACTTGAATAACCTATTATTTATTCTTGCACATGGAACTGTATGAGAATGAGCAACTGAATCAAAGCTACTATCCTTAAGTAACAGTACCCTTAGTAGTGTTTTCCCTTAAGTAGTATTAAGATTTAACAATTCAAGATTCTGGCTGACTTATCCATAGTAGGTACAAGTTAGAGAGATCTAAGAAGGGACAGGACACTACCCTCTCGGTTAGGTCTAGAACTCAGGGTAAATTATGATCAAGCTCTGTCTGCCACCAAATGGACTACAAGCAATGCAAGAAGCAAACATGAATTTTGCCCCATAAGACCTAACTAAAATCCCTTGGTACATCAGGATGGTGCATCAACTATGAACATACTATATACAAAGGCAAACAAAGAACAAAAGGATGGAAGGGTACCTGCCCTGGATTGCTCTATGACGTCTGCTTGTTTGTACCCAAGCAATCTGATGTGTAGAAATGGGGCCACAGTAACTTGAAATCTCTCCTCATGATAAAGAAATCCTCTGGCACCATCCTAAGCAGAGGACAGCGGGCCTATCAACAAATGTCTGACTCAGAGTGTTTGGGTTTGGTCATCTGGCTTAAGAGGAACGAGGAAGGGATGACACTGGTGATTCAGATGATGTCACAGCAACATCTGCCCGACACTTAATGTGGGCCAGACACTCTGTTAAGTGCTTTACACATAAATCTGACTTAATTCTCACAGTGACTCTATAAAGAAAGCTCTGTTACCACCCCCATTTGGAGATGGAGCAACAGAGCTTATCAAGATAACGCCTCCAGCTAACACAGATGGAGCAGAGATCTGAACTCATGTACTGGAGTTCAACTGTACCACCAACCCTCTGTGCTGCTTCCCACAACATGCTGCATAGGAGCTGGCCCCTATAAGCAAATCGGCCCCAGCACCTTTAAATCTTATCTGCTCTGCTACTCTCCCTGCTGTGTGACTTCAAGTGACCAGGTATTGTGCCTGCTGCTGTGGATCCAGAATTAAGGGGGTGGCGAGAAGCTCTACTCTACTTCTAGGTTAAAAGATTAGTGCCCCTCATTGATTAAAAAAAATAAAGAAGAAGTGACATGGAGCGAGGGAGGTCTAACCTAGTCCAATTCAGCCACATGGCTGACGGAAGTAACCTTGTTTGCAAAGGGTGAGTATGTATTTAACATTATTGTTTAACTAGTCTCTTTTTAAAGAGAGCCATGAAATAGACCCCTCCCTTTAAGCACAAGCACTGAATAACTGATAGACATATACAGAGTATTTATCAAATTAAAGAGGTCATGAATAGTATAAGAATGCTAAGAAACATAAGAGCAAGCTCTGTCTTGAAAGTACTAAAGCCTTACTGGGTGGTTTAATGGTTTAGCTCGGGGTTTCTCAGCCTCAATGCTACTGACATTTTGGGCTAAGAGGTTATTGTGGGGGCTGTTCTGTACATTGTAGGATGCTCACCAGCATCCCTGGCCTCTACCCACCGCACTCTTCCAGTTGTGACAACCACAAATGTCTCTAGATATTGCCAAATGTCCCCTGTACAACAAAATGCCCCAGTTGAGAACCACTGATTTAGCTAAATAAGAAACATATTATAAAATTTTTTTTATTTTTAATTT